CGCTCAAACACATTCCATCCTGGCAGGTTTCGAGAACAAATCCTTCTCAGTGGCAGTAACAAAGCAGGCGGATTTCATATTCGGCTTCCTCGTGGTTGAGTCGAACAAGCGGGGTGTCTCGTTGGATATTTGGGTAGTATCCGAATAGACCGCGTCCAAAAGAGAATACCCGTTCTATAGGAGAACGTATTATATGTTGTAGAAGCCCGTCCTACAGTTTTCAGTACTACCTTGATGGTCAACCTACACTTCGTACCCCCTCCCATTGCTCTATGCTCTGTAGTCTCTATTTGTTCTCTACTTCTATCTAATTCTCTCCCCCAATTGAACTGTGTTCAACATGCAAGATGCAGAAAAATGTTGAAGGTTACCGGGCCGGAGGGGACCGCAGTGGGTCGTAGTGGAGAAAGACGAGGGATCTTAGCGCCAAAACGGCATCGAAATGGGGGAAGTTCCCCCTCTTTTCACAACCAAGAGATGCTCTTTACGCCTTCTGATAGGATGATTCTCCAACCTTCTGTTCGGCCCTTGTATCGGATGGACCAGGTCGTATCAACCGCAGGGCAATGGAGACGGCAGATTCGTCCATCGAAAGATCGTCCTTGCTGCTCCTCATTTGCTCATTTTAGCCGTGTCATCTCTCGTGGATGTCTGATGCGGTTCATATGCTGGACTTCCAAGGTTAGGACCCGCCTTCCACATTATCTTGCCCTAATTGGGTAATATTTCCTTCTATGGACTCTGTTCACTCCGTCCAATCTGTTCCGAAGGGATTTGCTTTCTCTTACTTCTTCTCTCTCTCTCTCTCGGTCCCCTTTGTTCTGCTTTATGATTTGTATTCACTGGAGATTAAGACCCCTCAGACCCGGTTTCTTCACCTCCACAACGTGAACCGTGCCCCGAAACACATCCTATGAGGACATGAATTTGGATTTTGAGTCTCTGATTCAACGGTTTGCTTTTTGGCCAAAATGAAGATATCTCCAATGAAGACTCTTTCAACGGGAGGATAGTCGATAGTCTGTCTGCCGCTATCCTCTTCCCGGTCCATCCTGATCACCGTCCTCGACTGCGGTGTGCATAGATGTCATGCGGGCTTTAGGTTCTGCGGTTCATCGATCCGCTACCCGGCTTTGAGCAAATCAAGCTACAAACTGGCTGCGCTTTGAACGAACCCCGTTCCTCTCCGGGTGATCGACCCTGATTTGACCTAAGTTTGGGAGAGACCCTCAGCCTCGTCAAAGCGAGGCAACAACGGTTACCATGAAGGACTAGAGATTTCGTCAAACATTGGTCAAGGTTTGGAGTGAAAACACTGGTCACGTTGTTACACCACGTTTTTTTTTTTTTCTTTCCAACAGGAACCCTGGGTTACTTACATTTTATGGTATGTTAGAACCTATATTTAATACATACAACATACTTACTAGTTAGTTATATTGCCAGTATACGACTACTCGTACCGTCGAGTCTGCCATCCTGGTTGGAAGGTCATACGGGAGCATGCAAAGAAGGAAAAAAAAAAAGAAAAAAGAAAGAAAAAAAGAAAAAAGAAAAACAAAACCCTTCCAAAAAAAACAAGAACAAACCGCGTTAGCCCTGAGAAAGAAGATTTCCATACCTTTACAATGTAATACGCAAAACGAATTAGGCCTGACGAGATGCAACCCCTGCCGCAATATATCTCATAGTTAACCAACCAGACACCATTCCCCCCTCTATTACAGGGATGATTTTGAATTTGCGCAAAATTAAAATTGACATATTATATATTATTATATTATTATATTATTATTATTTTTTTAGAGATTTTCCTTTTCGATGGACTTTTATTTTACTGTATTAACCAATCACCAACAAGGTCGGCTGGATAACTCTCGGGGGAAGGCTATCATGGATTTTTCCGGACGGGCTTTCTCGTGCCAGTTGCAATCAATATTCACAGTCGTTCTGTCAAATCCATGCGATACTGATCGTCCTAGCCCTGATTTTCCTTTTAACCCCCATTGCCTTACCCGCATGCTCTTCGACCTTCTTGCATATTGTATACTTTATACATTTCTCTTCTACTCCCTTTGCCCGTAGTTTATAGAGCTACTGTTCTCGGGACATTACTCTCTATCTGGGGAATTTGATACAGGTCTACGGAAGCAGTGGAACATGTATCAGCTTTTATTGTCTAACCCTTAGATTCTTTCATTGTTCCCCAGGATTTCTTTTGTCTCTCTTTCTTTGATTTCCTCTCGAATCGAGCCTATCACGAGAAAAAAAACCCCCACCAAAGAAAAGCCCTATTCTCCATCGTTCTTGAGATCCATTATCCATGGAGGAGCCCACCATGGAAACGGAGACTCACCATGTCTCGGAGAGTGAATTCCCACATTCGCCATGGGTGGAAATAGGCACATTTACTTCTCCTCAGCACTCGCCTCCCATGCCCGAATATAGTGGGTTTGACTACGGTCAATCGCAGCTCATGACGGTGGACTCGTACGGCATGTCAATTCCGCCACCCTACGCTTCCATGCCACTACCCATGCCTTCGCATTCGTGGCCCAGCATGCTCACCACACACTCTCCGTTTGCTGCGTCTGGAATCCCTGTTTCTACCACCCCGACATCGGTATCGCCTTCGACTCCCATGCCTCCAGTTCGAAAGACATCGACTGGAGGGTCTACACCACGCAGGACACTTACTGACGATGACCGCCGGCAAATGTGTATATATCACGAGGAAAACAAGACTGCTAAGCAGACTGATATTGGAGGTAAGCATATCTCTTTATCTGCCTTGAAGGGCTAGGCTGACTTTATATGCAGCATTGTTTGGAGTCGAGAGAAGGTATCATTGCAATCTCGTTTTTTTCTCTCTTTCATTTTGACTCAATCTAACATGTAATAGCACTGTTTCCAAGGTCCTTCGCCAGAAGGAAAAGTACTTAAATCCCGAAGATGGGAGTCGATCTCCTATTAAACGCGCCAAGGGCAGAGTCCCTGATATTGAGAAAGCTCTATCCAACTGGGCAAGAAACTACCAGCGCCAGGGATATCCCCTAAACGATGAGATGATCAAAGAGAAAGCACTATTCTTCGCCAGCACCTGCGGCTGCCCTGAAGGCAAGGAAAAGGTCTGCACCACAGCCTGGCTAGAAAAATTCAAGCACAAGAACAATCTTCTCGGCGCTAAGGTGCGCAGAGGATCTACCGAAATTCGCAGCGGATCAAACAGCCCAACCCATCTCAATACAGACTTTGGATCTGCTCTTCAAAGTCCCACCGGACCTTCGCCTACGTCCCCCATTGATGGATTCGGATCCCCATTGTCACCAACAAGCCAAGAAGGAATGAAACGAGACATGGCTGAACTACCGGATCTGACAGGGGGATACCAACACGGGTATTCCAAGAGTACAACCTCGATCGACACTTCTTCGGCGGGTATGATCAGCCCAACATCCACTTTAGTCTCCGACAGTCCTTTCACACCAACAAGCCAATCCCGTCTTCCAGCCGCCAACAGCAACACCAATCGGCCGCGCAGCCAGACCTTCCCTCTCGTCCCCATCGATCCAACCCTCCTATCCGCCGATGAAACCACAGACCCGCATCGCCAAAAGCGCGAACTCCAGCAATCTCTTTCGGTCTCTACCCTGCAATCCCCACTGGAAATGGACAATCCCAAGTCTACTATGTGTCCGGTCCACCAGACAAACGTCATCAAGCGCAATCGCAGCAACCCAGAGATCACGACGAAGTCCATGCCGCCACCCTCAAAGTCTACTACCATCTCGCCCACCAGCACTCCGGGATCACCAACCCAGGACGAGGCTCGTCGCGCCCTGGAACTCGTCATCAACTACTTCGACCACCAGCCTGCTGGCCTGGCGGCACAGGAGTACATGACCATTGGGAAACTAATGGAGAGGCTTGAGCTTGCCAAGAGCCAGGCCGGGTTTCTGTTGGGGGGCTTGCCGCGCATTGATGAACATGAGGATGTTCCCATCCCGCGTGTGACGAAGAAAAGGAGCATCCAGAATTTGGGATGAGTCCTTGAACAAGCTGCATTTTGCATTTCTTTCCTTCATTTTGTTTATGCATTTATTCCCCCCTCCCTTGTTTTTTTCTTTTCTCTTGCATCGCTGGTTTTATTTCCTCTTGAAGCATTCCCCTCTCCCCTGCCTCCCCAACATTATCTGCGTTACTTTGATTTATGATTCGTGATTCCCCCTTTCTATTCTTCCTTTCCTTCATTCGGCGGTTCATTTGCTATTCTACTCTATCCCTTTTTTTTTTTTCTTTGGTATCACTTGTACGAACGTTCAATGTCTTTTTTTATATCCATTCCCTGTCTCTGCAGCCAGCAATGGCAACGAGATATAAAACCTGGGCAACCAAACAAAAAACATACACATATCCAGAGGGCGACCTCTACTTTCCTTTGGAACTCTTGGGGTTACGGATTTGGGAATAGGCGCACACGCCCTGGGATTCCCAGTCTCGAGGTGGATGCATATGGAATAATGGGCACATGGCAATATGTGATGGTATACGGATTTGGGATCATCGGCTTTGGACTTGGACTTGGGAGTTTTTGCCGCTTGCCCTCTTCTTCGGGTTTTTTACTTTTTTGTCTTTTTTTCCCGCTGGTTTTCTATATCCCCCTGTCATTTCATTTCATTTCATTTTTTTTGGCTCTTTGCATTCTGTTTCCTTGAACACCCCCTCCCTTGTACCGCATTTCTTTTTTTACACTCTTTTCATATTATTTTCCCCCCTTTCCTTTTCTTAAAACTGAGCTGCTCACGCGGAAAGGACATAATTTCATTTGGTTCACCTATATATGAACCCATGTCAGATGAATCTTGCCTATTATTATACCCCTGATATCTTTCTACAATCACGTTATTCTCAAGTTTCGAAGTTATGCTAGTCATAAGTAAGGCATATCTCATTAATTAAGTACGATAATTAAAAAAAAAAAGCCGCAAACAATTCGTAGTCTATACAAATGCAGGTGGCACTGACGCCACCCCACGGTCTTCCAGTAAATCTTCCACACTGCGCTCAGCCATTTCAGGGAGCACCTTGGCCAACACTGTCTCGATAATACTCCAGACTAGATGTTTATTGCAGTACTCATCTGCAAAGAGGTCTAGAAAATCACGCTCGATTACAGCCAGGAGATGTAGTTCCTCCCAATCAATCCCCGCAGATGGATCATCGTCTGTGCGCAGCCGCTCAGCGGCAAGGTGACCACACGCAACTGGACAGGGACTCGAAGGCAAAGGTGAATGCGATGGCGCCAGATTTGCATTCCCCCGCTGGAAAGATTCATGATGCACACTGGGGGAAGGGGGAGGGGACGATGTGACGAGAGAGGTCGAACTGTTGGAGCTGCAGGTACCGTCACCATTGTAGGGCGGCGGAGGCGCCGAAGAAGGAACACCGAGGAAAGTTCGTACGACGGAGCGCGGGACCACAGCCAAAAGACTAGCTGCACATCGTCGCTTGATAGCGGCGATCTCCGTCTTAGATGGGCTGTTCCCTTGTGCCGGCTCGGCCGGGTCATTTAACTTTGGTGTTGGGGCATCGGCCGCAATGGCAGAAAATGAGGATGGATGGCCTGAGGTACTGGTTGAGGCATGACCCCCTCCAGTATTGCCGCTGTTCCTGCTATTCCCCGGATTAACAGTTTTACCAACGATATCGGTATTAGAGCCCCTGACTCCTTCCACAATAGGAGTATTAGATGAGGCCGAGGGCGCGAGGGCTTTCTGAATGGGTGTCGGGGTCTGCACAGACTGCAGAGCCGAGGCCGGAGCTTCAGTATGGCCGGCCGCTGTCTGAGATATTGGACGGGTATTGGCTGGGAACAAGGCGGTCCTCGTTGCAAGAAGAAGGTTGGGCAACAAAGTGGGGGTCAGCACGTACTCCTCAATGGTCTCCCGGAGGAATCTATGGCAGTTAGCAAAGGTCTCTCTCAAATTATGACGTCGGATCAATTGGGCAAGTCCAAAAAAAAAAAAGGAAAAAAAAAAAAAAAAAAAAGAAAAAGTGAAGCAAGAACCTGGACTGTGGAGCTTTCCGGGACGTTGTGCCTTTTTTTTCTCGCGCATATTTTAGTTTAGAAAAAGTCCAAGTTGGCCATCAAATAAGAATTGACCGTATAGAGTGAGGGTGAGGCGGAGTAAGATCGGCTTAGGCAGAGAGATGAAGGAGCTTGGGCCAGGACAGGGGCTGGCATATCATTTTCTCAAAGAGAATTCCCCTCAGGTAACATCCCGTACCTGGAGCGCAAGCCTTCATGCACGAACCTCGGTCAGATTACGAATTCCAATCCTTCCCGGTAGGAATTTCGCTCATTGGACCAAATCCAGTAATTCACTAGCCTCAACAGCCATTGCTTTTTCCTTTGGCGCCTAAAGAGGCATGGCCCGGCTTCCAATGGGGTGATCGGCACAATTTTCTTTTTCTGGTTTTTCTGTTCGTTTTCGTTCGCGCACGTTTCTTGCCGACAGTTCGATCGTCCAGATGTGGTCTTTCTTTTTTTGGAAATTCTTTGAAAGTTGGCACATGTTGGAATCTTAAGATTTGGAACGAAAAGTGGACGAGCGGCACGGAAAGGGCCGGGCCACTGCGCTATCACACACAAGGACTTTCTCTCTCAAAGAAATCCAGAGACGAAGTAACCACGAGCAGCGGTCATCCCTGTCCGAAAAAAAAAAAAAAAAAAAAAGGTCGCTCGGACCGATTTGAGGGCAACCAATCTGATGCCAGAACAGCCCAGTAAGCCTGACGGTAATGACGGGTACAGTAAGGACACCGCGTAAGTTTGTAAGATGACGGTAATCTCTCCCACGGGTAATGAAGCCCCAACGTTACAGATCAAGTGACCGACGCAGCATGCAAGCAAGACGCTTCATGTCCCACCTTGACTCGCACAAGTGACATTTGACCCGTAGATCGTGTTTCGGAGATCGTACCGTTGCTCCACAGTCATTGATTCCCAAGGCCTGAGCCCTCGAGAAGGAGGGTTGGGGCGTTGAGAGGTTGCAGAGCGAGAGTGCTCCGGAGATTAAAAAAAAAGGAAAAGAGAACAAAAACTCACCTATCAAAGATTCCGTCCGTAGCACCGACCCTGCCTGGGCCAGCCAAAATAAGGTGTTGGAATAGAGCGAGCAAGCCACTCAGCCATGGCATTTTCCATGAGATTCCCAGTATCTGCGAAACCATGGAATACATTTGGTAGTCGAGAACCGGGCGCCTACTTGTGATGCCCTCGGACGCCATCCCATCTCTTTTCTGATTGATGGATAAGGCAGGTGAAACACTGAGGTTGTGAGAAGGGCCTGGGCTCGATGCGACACGAAATAAACCCATCGCAATGAAACGCAAGACGACGTAACCAAGATAAATCATCTGCAGAAGGTTCCATATCCAAGCAGTGGCCGAGAACGACGTTGATGGCTGGTCTGGGAGCTCATCATCGGTTGAAACTAAGCCAAACTTCTCTAATCGGTTGATTTGAGTGTCCGGGGTGGATTTTGTGTCATCTTGGGTTTGACGACGTCCCACTTGAGCGGCGAGTTTGCCCATAGTTTCCCAAATGAACCATCCTTCGCATGCCCTGCCACTGACTTGGTTCCCCAGTATCAGATCTGCTATAACGTCAACCACCAGCGCTCGGAGACTGCTATTTTCAAGATCTTCCGTTGGAAGAAGAACTGCTAGGATACCGTTGGCGAGTAGTCGTCGATAGACCGCTTCGTTCTCTACCTGCTCGGCGATCGTATCTGGATCTCTTGGATCAGGTACTGGAGAAAGACCGGGGTGTGGATTTAGCTCATGATAGAGCGTACGGTATGACGTCGGTAGGCCAGAAAGATGTGACTGTTGCCTGGCAAGTCTGTACGCTAGAATATCATAGTATCAGCAATGTTTCCCCTCTCCGCGGAACCACCATGGATTCCGACAAGAAGAACTTTAAAATGGTCTAGTCTTACAGAGTACATGTGCTTCCACCAGGCCAGGGATCTCGTCCAGGGCTAGTTGTGCAACGTCGATTTGGCGCAGCCTCTGCTCGAGTGCACGCGTGCAATGCGCGATTACTTGTAGAACTTCATTCACAAGAGCCTGGTCGGGGGTAATCTTCGAATACCACGAGTAAACAAATTCCTTTATAATTATAGCGAGAAGGGCGTAGAGTTGACGATCAACGTCATTGGAGCTCGTGAGGGGAGGTAATAGCTCTTCCAGAGGCTGTGGGGAAGATGCTCCGTGGCTGCTTGTCTGGGGGCACAGGACGCGTCGGATCAGGGCAGTGGTGGCCTTATCGTTAGCGGAGTCCGAGTCATCCTTGCTAGAATCTCTTTGTGTACGGAGTCGAGAGGATGGACGCGAAGGAGGCTGAAGCGTCGTCGGGGAAGGCAGCGCGGTGGATCTGGAGCTGGATGTTGTCGGCCCAGCCTTGAGATGGGATATCGGCTGAAGGCCGGGGCGGAGCGGATCATTCATTTCATCTCATAGACATTTAGAGTTGGTTCAATAGCTATCAAGGAACAGAGCGTTCTCTGTTAGAAGCAAGACAATCAACTTCGGAAAGCCTTGATGATCTGTAGGTGGCCAAATTGGGGCGTTAGGGCTTAGGGCTTTAAGATAAAGCCTTATCTCTTTCCATTGATGCGGGGATCTGTTTATGGCCGGCCAAATGTACTTAAGTGCCCAAGTGGCCTCTTGATTCTTAATTGTATTTGTTACTCGAAGATATACACCATGTTAGACCAAGTTAATCAACATAGTCCTACTCCCTTATGGTTGGATTGCGATCCTGGTCAGTCCATCATGTTCCCTCTCTCCTTCGTATTACTGACTGTTCTTAGGTCACGATGTAAGCTCAAAAGGCGTTATAGAGAGATATTCGTTAATACGAGATAGGATGCCTTTGCAATTCTGATCGCCGCTCATCATCCATCTTTGAACCTTCTTGGAATTAGTACTATCCATGGAAATGCATCGTTAGAGAAGACAACGGCCAATACCGGCAGCGTTCTCGAGGCGATCGGCAAGCCCAACGTTCCTGTCTATCCCGGCAGCCATAAGCCATTTTCACGGCCTGCTCTTCATGCGCCCGATATTCATGGTATGGAATGATCACCTCGTGAGGGAAGCATTCTAACAACACTCTCTAGGGGAATCTGGTCTTGATGGGACCGACCTTCTTCCAAAGGCAACTAGAGCACCCATCACCGATAAGAACGCCATTTTGGCCATGAGAGATGCCCTTCTTGCACAGCCCAAGGGCACTCCCTGGGTAGTTGCAACGGGCACATTGACCAATATCGCACTGTTGTTTGCAACATTCCCCGAGGTGGCTGAACACATCCAAGGGCTGAGCATTATGGGTGGTGCCATTGGTGAAGGATTCACCGATGCTCCTATGAGCAGACTTGAAGGTGAGAAGTCTAGGATCGGAAATGTGACCCCATGGGCTGAGTTCAACTTCTATGTATGTTTTCACATCTTTCATCCCGCTCTAGCTCGTCTAATCAGGATGGTATAGTGTGACCCTGAGGCTTCCGAGTCAATCTTTAGCAACCCAGTTCTTGCATCGAAGACAGCCATCATGGCCTTAGATCTCACACATCAAGTTTTGGCCTCGCAGGCCATTCAAACGCGCATCTTGCATGGCTCGATCCACTCGACCGAGGAACCCACTATCCTTCGGCAGATATTGCATGCGCTACTCACTTTCTTCGCTGCGACATATGAGAAAGCTTTTGGTTTGATCACCGGGCCTCCACTGCATGATCCCCTTGCTGTGGCTGCGATCCTGTCAACACTGAATCCAGCCTTTGCCAACAAGCACCCTAATCAAGCTCTTGTGTTTGATGACAAAGGTGGCGAGCGTTTTGCTCTGAGTATTGTCACCGATGGACAGCACGGGAAAGATGTATCCGTAACAGGTCAACTGGGACGCTCAGTTGCTACTCATGTTGATGGTCCGGGCGTTGCTATTCCTAGGGGTGTTGATCTGGATGCTTTCTGGAACATGGTCCTACAATGTGTTCAGCTAGCCGATGATTGCAACGCTGCACGCAAGGTCTGACTTTTTTAGATGATCTGTGAACCCTTTAGACCCTTGCACATATCTTTAATTGCACATAGGTTAGAACAATATCTTGATGCAGGTCAGATACAAGTCATAGAGTAGGATTTTCGAGATGTCTAAATAGTCCAAATTGCATTTCCGAGAAATCCATCCCAAGGTTCGTCCTTTGCCCTTAGTAGCCAGATATAAACATATCCATGGATGTATTGTTTGTGAATGCCTTCATTCAACAATCCAACACCGATTCTGTGCAAACTTTATATGTACTAAACCTTAGAAGCACCCGCGGGTATGAACCTCAATTGCATAGGGCATTCGAGGTGCCTTCAAGAGTACTCAAGAGCCTCAAATTAAGCCGGCTCTACGAGAACAATAGGAAATACAGTACTCGCTTTCCCACGAGAAGATAGAGCCACCTATTCATGAGCCGAGGAAACAATAGGGTTTCCCTGCTTTAGTCAATGAACCAGCGGGTTGATGGCATGGAGAGCTGTTTGGGTTTTACGGGGGGATATATGTAAAGCCGACGGAGGCCTGTTCTTCAAATATATGGTTATTCTTTTTGAATGACCTTTGGTTAACAATAGATCAATTTTTAGACGTAGTCAGCATCATTTTTGTGTGATGTGTTGCAAGATGACATGGGGCTCCACGTTCCTGGATGTTAGGGAGAATACTTTGCTCCAATATATGCATAGAATTAAGGAAAGTCAAGTAATAAATCAACATTGGAATGCTCATGAAGTTCAATGAAGTTCCCAAATTCACTCAAAGGCGGCCGGCTGAAAGGAAGAACGTCATATGTTGCGGGTATCTCCACATCTCCAAAGTCCAAGAGGCACAACATCCAACACTTTCTCGATCGCAATTTGTGGACATCTTTCCCCCAGAATTAATTGTTTGTTGCTGTACATATCTTGGTTTCTTGGCCTTGCATGGCCAACGTTGATCCCGCACACTCCTTGACGGCGCATTCCGATCAGAATGCCGCCTCCTAACTCAGTATCTTCTATCCGTTCCATCCATCACAGTCTATATAATATGTGAACTAATATCCTCTAGCACGCCACACAACTCTCTCCGACGACCGCAGCACTTGACCCTCCGCGCCGATCGTCGATTCCCATACCGGCCCCTGTGGAGACCGATAATGCCCACGATGACAACGTGAACTTCCTGCGATCGCGACCAGCTCTCTTCAATCCGCTACTACCCTCCTTAAGCCGACAGCGTCGCCGTCGTTATCCGGCCAATCCGCCACCGCAAAACGAAGACCGCATGGAAGTGGATGATCCCATCAACCCGCGCACGTCCGTTGAACTCAACCGCCGCATCCCGATTGTCCGTCGCCAGGAGAGATCAACCGACATGCCGAACTACGAGGGCCAAGCGCCCAACTCGAGATCGTTGTATGGGTGGGCACCGGGATCTGATGATGAGGACGGTGCGGCGCGCGAAGAGTCAGACGATGATCAGATGCAGCCCTTCCTCCATTCCATCTCAAGCCGTGATACACCCCCCGCACGACCTCCGCGCGACGAGATCCCGGCCCCGGGCCCTGCGCAACTGATACCCCATGAGTATGCGACATTACCGGGCAGCACTCAGGCTCGGACATCGATCTCCGCAGTGGCGGCATTACTACAATCTGCAAGGCGTCAGCCTCGGCTTTCAAGAAGCCGCACACTGGAGAACTACATCATCGACCGCTATTCAGAGATCACTCCAGACGAGGACACCGAAAATACGATAGCGGTCGCATCTCGGGGATACCGCTACCGTCCTGCAACGCGCGGGGACTCACATCATACCAACATCACCCACAACGACCTACGCGCTCGGGCTGCCGCTCATCGCCAATTACAGTCAGACACATATCGGGGCAACGTGCTGTGGGAAACCATTCACTATCTCGATCGCATTCGGTATTCAAACTCCCTTGAAGATAGTATGCATGTCTTGGCGGACAGTCGGCTATCCTTCTCAATGGATAACAAGTCTTGGAGAGATACGGACTTCATTCTATACACTCCCAACATTGCACCACCTGCAGCGTGCTCATGGCTTCGATCTGGAATGGCTTTCTCGGGTTGTCAACGGGCTGCGAGTGCCGGGTGTTCAGTATTATCGCAACGCATTCCCAGTCCGAACGCCCCTACTGAGCCTGTAATTGTAAATGGAAGTGATAGCACCCGAATCAGCGTTTCTACCACAAGTGGCCGCCGATACTTAGCTAACAACCGCGATGAAAATTGGCCTGTCAAAGTGACGATACACCAGATCAACCACGATGACATGACATTATCTGGCACTATGGAGGCCTACAACATCCCCGATAAGACCTCGCCCACCCACGATGCGCACATTGTGACTTTCTTGGAGGGTGAGATCATCGATTTCAACAATCACACGCTGGAGACAAAGAACTTTAAAGCAGATGCAGAGATCGATAGCACCTACTGGCGTGAACTGCAGCCGTTCAAGGATTTGACAGACGCTGAGATGGCTCAAAACCTTGTGAGTCGGAAGTGGATTACCGAGGAATTGTCCAAGGGATGGATTTTGATGAGATGGAAGGGTAAGTAGCGGAATATCATGTCTCCCTCCAGTGTCTTTTTTTTTTTTTTGTCTTTTGCTAACACATCCCAGAACGATGCTTCATCACTCCGACCGACGCTCGTCAAGGTCTTACAATTTCCGGGTTCTACTACATCTCTCTTCGCCGCGAGGACGGGCACATCGAAGGCCTGTACTATGACCCAGGAAGTTCGCCTTACCAGCAGCTCTCTCTGAATCCAGAAGTATCGAAAATGGTTCGCCCTTCTTACGCCTTCCGCTGAAAGGAATTATCTTATGCATACCCTTTTCTTCTTATCTTTGCTTTAACCCAGAATAATCTTCTGATCCCCTCTCTCTGAACCTTTGGTGTCTCTGATTTGGCGTTCGGGAAAACGTCAGATGACATCTGACACGGCTTTTGCATAGCTCGGCGGTGTTCTTCTCGTTCGGTTTGTGCCTCTTTCTCTGCATTTTCTCCCCTTGTGGAATAGCTTTGCGGCCATCGAATTACAGCAATGTTTCTGCCCTATTTCCTGGGATCATGACTATGTCTATTATGTTTTTTGTATCTATGGACAAAGATCTTTTCTTTTTTGGCTGTCATGGAACTCCGGAAATAAGGAAATTCCACTTATTCCAAGGGCCAAGCAAATTATTCCCACGTTCTCACATTGTCGATCTATGTATGACCTCGATATATCAACCACTAACCCCCTATCTCATTGAGAGGGCAATGGAAGTTTCTCCAAGGCTCAGGAACTTTCGCAGAATTCTTCGGCCATGTCCGATCCAAGACATTGGGAAATTCGACCAATCATCTCTATGAATCTGCTGAAAAGGCAGATTGACATGATCAGGGGTTTCCTCTCAGCTGCTTTGACAATATTATTCACTCCATGAAGTATGAATAAATCTCTTGGCCTCAAGTACCGTGATGAGGGCTAGGGGTAACTTGTAGATCACTAATGCCTAGTATATGTCCATTGACACTAGGATGGCTGCTTGGGTGTTCGAGTTTCCAAATCCAACCTTGAAAACTGCTACGATGTTACTCCATTGCCCTGACTGAATTTCTGGAGGAAGATCACCACACAAAGGCGTTTCCTTGTCCACTGCATATATGAAAGAAAATAGGACGCCAACCTTCAGGAAGCATCAAAGAAAGAAGTGGATTGGTTACAAGGGGTATAATCAAATCGAAAAGCTGCCAGTTGATAAATGCAGTCCTGAGACCTACGACTCAATAATGTGTAGTGATATGCATGTAGATCTAGAATAGTGACAAATCACACGCTATGAACTACGTATAACAATTCTCACATTCCAGTCAAAATATTGGTAATTTTAATGCAAGGATTATCAGCTGCATCTTTCTATTGGGTAGTGATGTTGTGATGAATTCAATACATCGCCCCCGTTTCTGCATGCCTAGTACATAGGAGTGTGGTCAGTCAGATCCATGGATGTGCTGACAAATTTGATCTTTGATTCTACCTTCGAGCTACCATCTCACGTCCTGATCCCAGGACGATTACCTTTGGAGTCAGTTTCGCTACCTCAGCCACTCTCTTTGGGGTTAATGAGCTCTGTCTTTCAAGGAATCCGATTATTCGGACTTTTACTCTTAAAGAGAATGGGTCTTGGGCTATATGTCTAGGCCAGACCATCTTGTACCTTGTCCTGTCTTCTGTACTAGATCAGATATATTTGGATCCTCTCTGCTAACCAACTAGCTCACCTCGTACCTTTCAATGCTTTATGTTCGATTGCGCGGAGCCACCGTCGGCTTCTCCGGCCTCGTAATTTCACCGTCTCCACTATGTATCGCTCTAGGTTCAATTATTTATGCTCGGTTGATTCGCCGGTAAGTTGGGTGATTTGAAAATCCGGAGTGTAGACGCAGTCTAACCACTGAAACCGAACTATGACATATAAGAAATTGTCTATTATTGAATTGGGAACGATAGTCGCTTCCTTCGCAGTGCTCGCCCTTAGCTGGCGCTCGAGTGCTAGCTATATTAGTCTAACCCTGGTGCTTCTTGCCGGGACTGGAAGAGATACTCGGGGTGACGAGGAACCCATAGATGTTAAAGATGTTATAGATTAGCCCATTTCAGATATTTCTGACATGTATATCTGATACTGCGGAATGTACCAGCCTAATTGGGCATTCCAAACGTAATGAGAATGAGATTGGAATTGATTAAATTAATAAAAATGGAAGAATATTGAAGCCATCCCCGCAGATATCTATATCGACTACTCCGTAGGTTGAACTAAATTATGTAGCTTCCCGCATGTACTTGCCCGATTGCGGAAAGTGTCACAGTATCCTGGCGCGGAGTACAGAGTAGATCTTCTCTTTTCTTCTCTTTGCGGGATCTTATCTTTTCAGGTGCAGCCACACACTGTGGGTCAATGCTTTGAGTACATTTATTTATTGCAACCCGTCCCCTTTTCAGGTCTTCAGAGCTTCACCATGCATTTGAAGCACCTTTCGCTTTTGGCCATAGCAGGCGGTATCCAGCCTGTTATCGCTGCGCCTCACCAGACTCGAACTGAGGGAGCATGCAAGAAAACTAAAGTTGCAATCCTGTAAGCACTGGATGTCTTGTTGATTGATCTCAAAACTAACCAAGTATAGGGGAGGTGGTGTGGCTGGGATTACTGCTGCTGTGAGTTTCCCTTTTTGTGTATCTGGATGTCATTGACACTTCATAGCAAGCCCTCACGAATGCTTCCGTGCATGATTTCGTGATTCTTGAGTACCGCGATACTATTGGCGGTCGGGCTTGGCATAAGCCATTCGGCAAAAACAAAGATGGCAAGCCTTATATTATTGAGATGGGTGCCAACTGGGTATGCATATCCCGGCTGTATGAAAGGACTGTGCTTACAGGTTAAACAGGTACAAGGCATTGGAAGCGAGGGAGGCCCACAGAACCCAATCTGGGGCTTGGTAAGTCTCGAAATATCTTCGATCGAACACAAATTGACCTCGAACAGGCTCAAAAATACGGACTGACCACCGAATGGTCAAATTACGACAATGTATCAACCTACAACAAGGATGGTTACTCCGACTATAGCGATCTACTAGACGCCTATGATGAGGCTTATGATATTGCCAATCAGAGGGCAGGTGAGATTCTTACTCAGAATCTCCAGGATCAAAACGCCAAGTCAGGCATGGCCTTGGCTGGTTGGAGCCCCAAGACACATGACATGGAAGCACAGGCTGTTGACTGGTGGTCGTGGGGTAATTGTTTGTCTTGTAAATGCACCTAGCGCGGTCAACTAACATCTCGACTAGACTTTGAAGCTGCTTACTCCCCAATAGAGAGTTCATTTGTCTTCGGCTGTGCCGGTGATAACTTGACCTTCAATTATTTCAGCGACCACGATAACTTCGTTTTAGACCAACGTGGATTCAATATCATTGTTAAAGGTCTTGCATCGACTTTCCTCAGTGACAATGACCCCCGTCTTCACTTGAACACCGAGGTCACAAACATCACGTATTCGGACGATGGGGTCACAGTTCATAACAAAGATGGCAGCTGTGTAGAAGCAGACTATGCTATTACCACATTCTCACTGGGAGTTCTACAAAACGGCGCTGTCAACTTCTCCCCAGAGCTCCCGGATTGGAAGCAGGAAGCTATTCAGAAGTTCACTATGGGAACATACACCAAGATCTTCTTCCAGTTCAACGAGACTTTCTGGCCCTCGGAAACACAATACCACCTCTACGCTGATCCTGTAACCCGTGGCTGGTACCCGATCTGGCAGTCACTATCCACCCCTGGGTTCCTCCCGGATTCCAACATCATCTTCGTAACCGTGACCAACGAGTTTGCCTATCGAGCCGAGCGCCAAACAGACGAGCAGACCAAGAACGAAGCAATGGAAGTTTTGCGCAAGATGTTCCCAGAGAAGGATATCCCCGAGCCAACTGCATTCATGTATCCACGCTGGACTTCAGAGCCCTGGGCCTACGGCAGCTACTCCAACTGGCCTCCTGCGACATCTCTGGAGATGCACCAGAACCTTCGCGCCAACACTGGCCGACTCTGGTTTGCCGGCGAGGCTACCAGCCCGACCTTCTTTGGATTCCTTCACGGTGCATACTACGAAGGACAAGACGCGGGCCGACAAATCGCGGCTATCATGCAGCACCGGTGCGTCAATGCAGACTCTGCTAAGTTGAGAGAGTGTGGGCCTCGCAAGTACTATGAGACCCTGCATGGAACCTCGCCGTATTCCGACTACACCATGCTCAATGGATGGGCTGTGGACAGTTCGATTGATAACAACCCTGAATAAGCGGAGGTCGATAACTGGGAATCCATGTATAGGCCTCCAATTTTTGAAGTCAAGTGATTAAGTTTATTCAATGTCATAATTACATACCCCATATTCGAGTATAAACAGAGCTCAAGGGCGTTTGTCTAATCTTATCACATCTTTCTTCTCTTCTGTTCTCAGCAGCAAAAACTCCCCATGAGCATTTTTGTTTGCCGAAGCTGCTGAGGCTCAGTTGTGTTGCTAACCGGCCACTCCAGTGTCAAAGAGCTGTCTTGTCATTATGATCTCTGTCTATCTTCTAGCACCTGCATATGGCCCGGCCTTAAGACAGTCTCTCTCTCCAAATCAACTCCCCTTCGGACATTTTCTTTGGTAAAGCCTCAACACTATCATACCCCAACACATGAATTTTCCGCATCATCCTTCTCTTAGGCGTGTTCAAAAACACCAATGGTAGCTACTTGAGCACACGTGGCAATCGCTGTAGGTCCGACAGAGGGCATGTGTGTGGCAGCGCGGATTGGTGCAAGAGCGCTTTGACAGACCGGGGTCTGCCTCGACACTTTGAGGTGCAACGGATTCGCTCTCTTTATCAATTTCTGGATGGGTGCTGTGGTACCGTTTTGCTGCCTCCATTGAAGCATCCAGTTCTTCGCAGAGGGAATCGGACGCGACAGCTAAAACGGTAGCATCGTGGTCGAGGAGATAATAGCCCCCATTCCTGTCGTCCACAGTTCCGAGTGGGAATTGCATGGCCATATCATTGAGTTCTTGACGAGTCTCCAAAATTGGCATAAATTCGGGGACTGGTACAGTATACCGGGTTGTCGACATTGCGAAAGAGGCTGCAACACTTGTTATCACAAGGAACAAAGATCCTATGAAGGTTCTGGGTAACATAATAGAGCGCAAAAAAGGGTGCTAGAAAAGGGAAGAGCGAGGTCAATACTTTCTCAAGAGCTTGATGTAAATAGGACTCCATACCAAATCGAAGGATCGCGTTGGTCAAGTGTTTTTCTTCTCTGACGTTAATAGGTTATAAGATTTGAGTCTTTAGACAGCTGGGGATGCTATCTACTTATAAAGCTCAACTTAGAGCGTATCACATATGTAGATTAACCGTAGATTAATTCTGTGTCGTATTCAAGGAAGTAACGTCGCATGGAAGGATTGACCAAGGCAGGGATTCGGCTCCATGGGCTACACTAATGCATTCAGGGTCACGCACTAGTCTAACTAAAAGTACAAATCGGACTTGGTCGGCCTTTGTTAAGTCCGATTGCATGTCTAGCTACGAGCAAGGTCATGTATCGACTCTAAATAAAAGTCACATCGCACATTTTCTTGAGTGAACAAATACTTACAGCTTCCGGGACTGAATGATATGCGGACTAGCCCTGGAGGACCGAAAAGCGAGTAGTCCCGGACAGAACGACACAAATCACCGTCATGCACGTTTACCAAAATGGCATGCTCCTGGTGGATGTAGTATGTGAGCTTCCAGGACATAAGCAATCCTGAAACACAAGGCGGGGTTTGGGGCTCTACCGAGGTCCCATGGAGATCTAGTTGGCGTAGGGTACACCCCACAGGCCATGCCTCTAGACTCATCCTCCCAAATCTCTAAACCTCCGATCCTCCTCGCATATTACGATAGGCCACGGAAAACTTGTATTAGAAATATGAGAAAAGGCTGTTATGATTTCTATGGGATACAAAGCGTTTCGACTCTAATAAATACACTGTACATGCTCATGGGCTTGGTAGTAGTTGTGGCTCTATGGAAGGGACTCACAATATCATTTCGTTCAATCCAACTCCCAGCACTTTTAGGGAAATACTTTGCTTTTCCCTCGTAGCCAAGGACCATAGGTCCTGAATATGATCGGAATGGGGATCATTATTGCGGCTAAACAGCCAAGCAACGTGCCAGCCCATTGAATTCCCATATTCTGAAACATCTGTCTTGAGAATAACGGAAAGCCCGCAGCTACTGCTGATCGAAGAATGATATTGGCAGCAACAGCTGAAGCAGCGCTAAGATCCAGGTAAGTCAGCGGGGTGTTTTGATTTCCAGCAGCTAGACCGAGAACTGACATTGGCAAGTATGCATCGACGATATAGTTGAAGCACGGAAGAAAGATGCATAAGACCCCAAATCCGATGAATATCCCGGCCGCGGCAGGTACAGCCCAGTGAATCTGAGGGGTGAACCCCGTCCAACCAAACCTGATGAATTTTCAGTTAGCAGACATCATACATCATTCTAACACAAAATCATTCTACTCACCAAAGGAGACCTATTGTAAAAACAGGCGCTCCTAGGAGTGTTGGAGCGAGGCGCCACTCGGGTACTGCGACACCCTTGTTCTCTGCCAATTGCCTTGCATAAGCCAACTGCCCAAAAAGAATAAAGGCACACGCGAGCACGACGCCGATAATGAGGCCAATAAACATCAGACCAGCAAAGGCAGGAGTCATTCCGTATACATGCTCGAAGACGTAGGGATATGCCTCAAGAAGCGCATAGACAAGGCCGTAGATGAAAGACATGTAAACCGACACAACGAGAATGATAGGCTCCGTAAAGAGCAACGTCAATGGGCGAGTGAAGTATTTCTCCACGAGATCAGCGATGCTGACCTCGACATCCTCGTGTCTGGCACGAATATTCGAATTTTGTGACTCTTTGCGAATAGCAGCAGCCTTCGCCACGAGAATACAAGCCGGATATGTCTCACTCAAAAAGAAAACACTCAATAGCCCATTGGCCAGACTAAATATTGCCGGAATGTAAAGCGTCCATCGCCAGCCAAGATAGCTCGACGCAATGAAGCCGCCCACAAAAGGAGCCATAAACGGCCCCACAAAAACAGTCAGAGCATATAGCGAAATGGCAGCACCACGAGTTGTGTTGCTGTATACATCGGCCAGTACACCGGGGACAACAGTTAGTTGGCTTGCGCCAAACATCCCAGCGAAGAAACGGCATATGACCAAGGTCTGGATATTTTTGGCCACTGCCGATGCAATAGTGAAGATTCCACCGCCTAACATTCCAATTGTCAAGGGCCATTTTCTTCCCCGTAGCTCTGATGCAGGTGCCCAGATTAGGGGCCCTGATGCAAAGCCAAGGACATAGAGGGTTGTTCCCAGTGTTCCGACCACTGTTCCCACCCCGAAAGTTTTGCTTACTTCATCAATTCCTGGCGCAAATATGGCGCTTGTTAAGGAGACAATTAAGGTTCCTGAGCAGACTAGGATTGAGTTGAAAAGTCTATGTGAAAATGTGGTCAGTTTGCTTTGTTTGCTTTCAGGATACGGTCTCTTGACCGATTTGGACTTGTGGCTTACTTCGTAGACAGTCTCCAATTCTGAGGATGGTCGGGGTCATCCGCCCCTTTGAAATCAACGTAGCTTGCTGTGTTGGAAAGAGGTGCTGGCGAAGGTGCCTTGTTTGGTTCAATTGACGGCTTCTCGTGCATTTTGAACTTGGAGTAGTGACGAGTGAAACGTTTCGTCAGAGGTTTAAGGTTCGATATCCGGGAGCGCTGAACTCAGGTTAAACTCCCCTAGTTAGTATAAGCATGTACTCCGGGAGAATATTGGGACATTAACGCTAATATGTAGTGGGTTTACATATGTCTTTTCCAACCAGCTTTGTGCATAGAAGCGGGTATTGCGGAACGGAGTTTTACCAGCTAGGCAAAGAAAGGCACCCGCAATTTCCGCAAGGCTTTGTAACAATCTAATTGTTTTCGGGTTTGAAAGTAGAAATGAAAGACAATAATGACCTCGGGACAAAATTAGACAAGCATTGATTTCCCTCAAAAACATAAGCGCCTTTTAAGGTTCCCTCATCCAGATCCACCCAGGAAACTTGAACCATCAATCATATCCGCATTCAGAAACTGATCGAGATCATCCCTTTGCAAACTGGGTAGATCAGTAACTAAAGCCCCCAGCCATGAGTACTCTTCAGCGTTTGGAAATTGCTGCTGGGATGGCTCAGCTGGACTTTCTTGCTCCTCCATCTTCATGATATCGTTGAAGATCGTAAGGTCATCTTTCCTCCGCTGTTGATGAAGCATAACTAGCAAGAGAGCCGCACTCCACGCCTCTCTCATGGTTTTTGTATCGTAAGTGGATGCCACGAGCTTCAATGTCTCCATTGCTTCGGGGAGCATCGCGAGCGATTGCCGTGTGTCCATCACTAGTAAGACACATATGATGTGGAAAGGGACGTTTGCCATGTGTTGCCAGGGGTTACAGTTCCTGACCATACTGCGTGAGCAAGCAAGTCCCCTTTTCAGCAACGCTAAGGATTTTTCTAGGAGGCGAGGGGAAATTTCGAGTTTCTCTGTGTGGATTCTGCGCAGAATGCAAAGCACAAGATTGCATTGCGCCATGGCCGAGGGAGGCTCAGTATGAACTCTTTCCAGGATCTGCGAAAGGGCTTTTCCTAGCTTAATCTCATCTCCTTTTGCCTTTCCTGGGTCTAGGCTTGCCGACAACGGAATAAGCCCCAGCAGCTCATCCGTTAAATCACCCTCGGAGGTTGATGGAAGCAACGGCAAATCATTCTTTTGAAAGGAGACTCTTGATAAACCAAGATCGTACGATGTCCACATATTAAGATGTAGTGCCAAGCCGAAGAGTCGTCTTCGGATGTTTGGATTAAAGTCTGTGCCGATACTGCACGGGAATACTGAATCTGTAGACTCTAGGTGGAAACCCGCAGCTTCCACCAGATGCATCAACTTCGAGCTCGCCATCCATGTTGAGTGAGGCAGATCTGTCATTCGCATGTAAATGACTCGCAATGTCCATCCAGTGAGAAGGTCCACAGGAGGAGCACCACACAGAACGTATGTGTCGAGAATAGAATGTGCCGATCCGATGAGATGTAATTCGGTGATGGTCATGTTTCGTTGGGAAAACAAACAACCTAGTGCAGCAACGCCACCTATAACACTGTCGTATAGACTGGTAACCGCAGGAGACTGCCACCTAGCCTCCAGTCGCTCAAAAAATTGAGAAGAATCAATAAAGCCATAGCACAGACCGATCTTAGCGAAGTAGATCCGAGCGAGGGTCCTCATGTGCTCCAAGGATGTGATATCCGTGATTGATAACACAGGACATGTAGTCTGAGATACGGTTGACAGTTGTCGCTTTCCAACATTCCAACCAAACAGACTGAGTTTTGGCGCTTTCGCAGGATCGATATTCAGGCCCATCCTCCGAACAAATGCAGCACCGGAGTTTGCCCACAACCGACGATCCAGCCCGTGTGTATCTACTGAGTTGATTTGTTGTGGGGTCTTTGGCGGGGCAATTTCTTTTGGAGGCTGTTGGGAAGCACGGTGCCTCTGTCGTGGCTGACGTTCGTAATGGCAATCATAGCCCCATTCACGGCAAGTGCTACAAGGCTCGGCGCCATCACATTTTCTTTTCCGCTCCCGGCATGGCTCGCATGCAAATTGGACGCGCTTTCGCTTCAGGTCGGATTGTGACATAGCTTCAAACAATAAGCAGCACCTGTAGAGATCCCGCAATTTCCGAGTGGAAAGAGGGATACTAGTCAGGGCGGGTATTGCGGAGGAGATGAGTGGGGAGAGGTCCAGCATGCGAGTGGGCCGAGATTGTCCGGTGATGCCTGAGGCCTCATTGAATGTTTGTCCATTTTTCAGTGCTTGTGTATAGAATTATACCACCTACTCTATATGTAGATAATAATAATTCGGGGCATTACTATCGACTGGTAGCCTTTTCACTCTATTTAAATATAACTCTTATGCGCTAGGGAGGCGGAAAAGAAGAGGAAGAATCATGACCTAGGACATTTATACCCTATAGAAATGGAAGAAGGCTCAGTCTGCTAACAGACATGCATCCATGTGATGATCCAACAATAACTTATATTCTTCCCATAGTTTAAATTTTCCTGCCAGTCTTAATTCAGGCATGGATAATACAGCAAGCAGAATCCGCAGCAAGACATAGAACAAAGACTTACAAGGGTGTTTCAGACTGGCTGGGGCCTTTTTCAAGCCATCTATCCGTAACCGGGCTACCAGGTAAATTCTGTTTTGGTGCATCTACTTGCACGGATCTGCTGCTATCATTGTGATCCTTAGCTGTGTTCAAGCGCGGTAATATAGCCTTTAGATTCATAGTGACCCTTTGGGAACGGCGATTCAATTAACATATCAAGAGGGTTGGTGATAGAGATCATTGATGGGGCTTGAGAGAATGCCGCAAGTGAAGTATACCAAAATACAACTCAGCGGGGAAACCGACAATTACGTACGAATCCAGATGTCAAAAAGCGTGAGGGAAATTCAAGGCAAGAATCACGTCTTACTAGGTAAAAGTAATAGTAAGCTATCGAAGAACAATTAGTCGCTATCGGGGGTAACTGGTTGGGTATGAAAAGACTATATCCCGTCATGTCATAGACGCATCCTGCAACTATTCCGGGCCCGTCGTATTTAACCTGTTTACACCGATACAAGTCCGATACAGAACTAAAGTTACAAAGGTCCGGTACTCCGCATCTACTTTTTTTTTGGCAACTCGTTCAGCATCATCTTCATAGACAACACGTGGCTAGAGAGTCCATCGGAGCGTCTTGACATGTCAGCGCCAAATCGCCGGCGTAATCACTCTCTGGCTTCTTGTGAGCCATGCCGGAAATGCAAGATTCGGTGTGATCACAGGACACCCATCTGTGCCTCATGTCAACGCCGTAGTCTCCAATGCTGGTATCATCCTGCGCCTCTGACCAAGCAACGGAGTTTCCAGAGACGGACTATCTCAACTCCACCCAGCTCAACCAGTGTGGTAGAAAGTGAACCTCCAAACAACGCCAATAGTCCCTCCGCTGGAACCCCAATATTCCGCACATGGCCGTTCCTGTCAGCCGACCCCAACGATTCGATATCGCGGGCTCCGATAACCGGGGATCACAATTACAATATAAAGGCACACAATGAGCATTTGGCGACCATTGAAGACATTGTCTCCCAATTGAAACTATTGCCTTTCATTGAAAAACGAATCCACGAGTATTATTCATTCAGCCAAGTTGCGCTTGTACCTAGGCCCCTTGTGTTGCAGCTGATCACTTCCCTTCGAATTGGTCTCGCAGACTCGGGCTATATGAAGGAAGACAGAGTCGATCAGATTTCCATTCATCAAGGTCCGCAACTAGCAGAAAATATTTTGCGCTCATCCTCATCGGACGTTGCCGTCACACGAGACTTGGACTTGGAGGCCTTCTGCGCGCTATTCAGCGGAGCGAATTTGCGCATAGAGGCTCTTGGTCTATTGTATACTATGGCAGCACGCTCTTCTCTCTATACTGAAGGTTATGGAGACGACAAATACCAAGATGATAAGTTCACTAGAGAAATGGGTTGGTATGGCAACTTATGCTTGCGACTGGCTCGTGAGCTTGCCCCAGAAACAACTGATATTATAATATGGCTTGCTCATGAGAATCTACAACTTACCACGCTTTTTGAAGGAGATGCAAGTGAGTCCAGTGGTCCTGAAACAAGCAGTTCGCATATTCATATTGTCCTAGGTCTAGGTGTCTGGCGACGGGTAGGTGACCTCGCTACAGACCTGCTCGCATTAGGCTTAAATAGAGAAGCAACACACTCAGCCACGCCGTTTTTTCTGGCAGAGTGTCGGCGAAGAAGCTTTGTCAGAGCTTATTATCTTGACAAAGTGTTCGCAGCAGTGTTCAACCGGCCGCCTCGAATAACTGCTCGACATGCAGACTGCAGACTGCCGTTGGACTTATCTGATGACGAAATTTTCACGTCGTCGGACAAAATAGAACAAGCAGAAGACAACCTTACGCAAGACGGCTGGAACACAGATGGGAAATACAGAACAGCAACGTGGGCTCGGATACGTTATATTTTAGCAGAGTTTCGTGAAGAAATTGTCGAATATCAATATCGATCAATACAGCCTGCCGATAATATCAAACTTAGGTAAGCTCTTTTGCTCTTTTGCCCCTTTCGTATGCTGAAGATACCATAGAGAGTTGTCCAGCCGCTGCTATGTAGCGTGGAACGGTTTACCCCATTATCTTCAATACAGACAGGACTGCTGGGCGTCGAATCTCCCGCCCGCACATTGCCATATGCATGCAAAAGTCTACCTATCATATCTTCACATCCACTTTCAAGTTTACCGATTACTTGCCAAGGGTGATGGTAACACCACTCTTCGACTAAAGTTGCTTGAGGTATCGGCGGACATGCTCGAAACAGTTGTAAAAATGACGAACTGTCGCGGGAGAACTTCCTCACCTCGCGATCTGCCTGGAATTGTATGTACCCCCATTCTAATGTCGCACCGGCATAACAAATCTCTCATTAACGGGTACAAGATTCTCTCATATGGTTTGCCGTGTGCTGCAATCCTCTCAACTGCACTGGAAACTTCTATTCAAGATTCATCAAGGGGATCGCTTCTTCTCCCCGGTATCAAGACCTCCACTCTTATCCGAAATCTTTCTGTCCTGGTGTCTCAACTTGAAACCGTTTCCAGTCCTAGTGAGACCAATCATGTATTTTGCATCAAAGCCTCAAAAGCTATCTCGCGCAAGCTCGACCACATCTTAGATAGCTTTACAACAGCCAGTTCTACAAAGCCTCCTGGCCTTGTACCAGAGCCAGTCCCAACACTACCTGCGCTAAACACCACAACAATGATGGATATTGATACGACTCGCTTCGTTGATTTTGATCACGTTGACCTTGCAGATTGGGCAATCAATTTTGACATAGGCACTATGAGCGATGAGTGGACTTTGTTTTGAAAGCGCAGGTTTTTCCGCAACTAATTCAGAGTTATGAATACGGGATAGTGCATACATTAGTGGAACACTAAATTCAAGCTTGTTTTTTTTTTAAAAAAAGACCAACCTCTAATAATCATACAAAACCATTTAATACCGGTTACTTTTAAACACCTCGGTAATATATTAACATTTTTTAATGGTTGCGGGTATATTCCTGCCGCAATGTACTTTGTAGGTATGGCGGATATTGCGGAGCTACCGATTGTTATGACGTCGACGAAGATGCCTCGGTAACTCCGAAACATGATTCAGAACAACATTCACATTTAAAACAACCTTCCTCTCACACATCTTGTCGCATGGTCACTCCTAAGCTTATTACGATATTATCCAAATATTTGCCGACCGTCTCGAACACCAAACCATGGCGACAAGCTTGCTATCGCGATACCCATGGGTATCTACTCCATTTCTGGTCAGCGCCCCCATGAAAGTAATGTCCGGTCCAGCACTGGCAGTAGCCGTCTCTCGCGCCGGTGGACTGGGGTTCATTGGTCCCGGTGCCAAAACACAGGACTCAAGTGATGATCTCGAGAAAGCATCATTGCTCATGCGCCAAGCGGCCGGCACAGTGCCAACTCCCGGCTCGACACTACCTGTCGGCATAGGATACCAGCTCTGGTGTGACGACATCAATGTTGCCGTGGCCGCTATTGAGAAGCACAACCCATGTGCAGCCTGGCTGTACGCCCCACGTCAGGGCCCCAAGGAATACGATAACTGGTCTAGCAAGATCCGTCAGGCATCCCCTGACACGCAAATCTGGATTCAGATTGGCACTCTGAAGGAGGCAAAGGAGCTTCTTCAGAACCAGGAGCGACCAGATGTTGTTGTTATACAAGGGGCTGAATCTGGTGGTCACGGTCGGGCGAAAGATGGCATGGGGCTTATGTCGCTATTTCCCGAAGTAGCAGATGCTATGGCAGGTAGCCAAATTCATTTGTTTGCGGCTGGCGGAATCGCAGATGGGCGCGGTGTTGCAGCGGCGATGTGTCTTGGGGCCTCGGGTGTGGTTATGGGTACTCGATTCCTGGCTGCTAGTGAAGCACGCATCAGCCAGGGTTACCAGGACGAGGTTGTGCGTGCAGTCGATGGTGCAACCTCAACCACGCGTACCCTACTGTATAACCACCTTAGGGGCACTTTCGGGTGGCCAGAGGAATACAGTCCCCGGACTATCTTCAACAAATCATTTGTTGAGCAGCAGGAAGGGAAGTCTTTTGAAGAACTGAAAAAGCTTCATGATGAAGCTGCTAAGACGGGTGATAAGGGCTGGGGACCTGAGGGGAGACTAGCGACATATGCAGGAGCCTCTGTGGGACTGATACATGATGTGAAAGCCGCAGAAGATATTGTTTATGGGATTCGAGAGGATGCATTGGAAAGAATTCAGCGGCTGTGTCCTTGAAAGCAGTAATTCAAACGACTTTGTTGCATAAGGTTGAGCTGAGATTTATGGGAAAAAAACACTTACTCTATATATCAGATCAGGTAAATAAGTTGAGGTCTCTATAGAAATCCGTGTGGTAATGTCTTCGAACGTGTCGGAATAGTTACGAGAGGAGGTCCAACTTCAGGCACGGTCAGAGAGAAAATTTCTCATTGCCAATGAATCTCAATTATCCTCAGCTAACACGCGTATTACCAACTAGAATCCAGTCCCTATATCAATTTCAGTACCGTTTCCTCCAAACTTGACACCCCCCACATGACTATCACTGGCGGCTATCACTGGCATAAATTGGCCCTGCAAACTCCAGAGCAGCATTGGCTGCCCGACATACAACTCATATCATTCAGCGCACAAGTACCATCCCACTCACAGTACGTGTTTGTCTCATGTTGAAGACTGCACGACATACGCTCTGCGCAAGGCCGTTCAGCAGAGCACTGCATGCCGCGAACATCCTCATCTTTCATACAGACCATCTCGACCATGGAAGTTCCAAGCGAATTGAGGACACGGGTAGGACGACACTGCAGGCCAGAAGGACAATCAGAGCCCCGCATACAACGCAGGTTCTCTGCGGCAGCCATACACATTCCACTCTGACAATGACCCGCGACACACTGGCCGTCCTCCCTACAAAGGGCGCCAGTTACAGAAGTTCGCTGGCAGGTCATGGAGCTTGAAGAGCAGTACATGCCATAATCCGGGTGGGCTGATTGACAGTTCATTCCACTGGAACATCTGTCATTGGGGCAGCTGCTTGGGCTCTGGGTGGACGCATGATCACTTGAGAAGATATGTCCTTGTCTATCGGCAGGGGAATGGACCGTCATGCATTTTATGCTTCTGGCATGTTTGCCAACACCATCTCCAACAGTTTGTCTAAACAAATTGGTATGAGGCCGGGTGAATGTAAACAGCTCGTTGTTGCAAGAGTTATCGCTAGATGATTTAGCACTAGATATTTGTAGTCAAAGGCTCTTCACTTACGAGTACATTGAGCACATCATGTCTTGCTTGACCTCGGATGAACATGGGACATAGACTGATCCAACATTCATGCGGCTAATACTTTGGTTAACAAAACTTCATAGGTTATGCGACGAATATTCAACTTACTACTCGGACATGTTGTCGAAATTCATGCAATTTCCATCAGATGCAATGAGTAATCCTTTTCGGCCGGCCTTCATTGCGAAGTCGTTTTCTTTGAAAACCATGGCCTAGTTCAAAAGTAAACGAATTGATCGGGTGTAAACATACTGGATAGCCGTACCTGATTAGGGACCATCATGACCGGGCTGGCAGCTAGTGCCAAAGGCACAAACGCAAGAATCTTGACGAAACTAGACATTCTGTTTGTTGATTGCGATGGTTTGGAATAGTCAAGGGTGAGTAGTGGATTAACTGTTGGATGAGGAGCAACCTTTATACTCGAATTTGGTATCCGAGCGTACTACTTTTTCTTTAATTTGTACCCTAGGTTTGTGTGTCTTCTTTTTTTTCCTTTTAGGTGCGATACAAAGATTTAGGCCCTTGTCAAGTCTGCATGTCGTCTAATCTAGATATTCATCTCGATTCGCCAGAGAGCCGGCATCACCGGGAACATTGATAAACCCAACAGTCAACACGCTTAAACTTCATGTCGTATAACTTCAGAGCTGTGGCTTTCTCGGACTAGACCATTAAAAAAACATTGAATCCGAGTCTTGCCTTCAAATGTGTAACCATAGCCCATGCCCGCATGTTCGGCTAGATCTCAATCTCAGTTCCGCACCTCCAACATTGATTGATGTCTCAATCCAACATGCTTGTACAGATAATAAGTATTAACTACAGTATGACAACCTTATACATGTATGTACAACAGAGGTCCCAGTAAGATATACGTCCACAGCTCCCCTAAAGGCAAATAAACTGAGACAGTTGTTCTACACATGACACGCACATAAGATATCGAGAATTTTATTTATTGGCAGATAGTGACGTGCTAGTCGTCTATGGTTCCTCGGCCCGTATCACAAATGTGGAGAGTGATCCTATATCTATCTGGATACCTTGTATAGTAATCCACAGCGCTCAGTTACACTAAACAAAACGCACACCATGGCTAGTTTTGCAACACTTTCAATGCTGTGCCAGCGAGAGGTTTACCATCAATGGCTTGCGTTCCCAAATATTGTAGGATTTCTGGATATTCCAAGCGGTTGAACCCTCGTCCATGGTCATGTCAAAGCTCCAGAAGACCTTGGTCACAATTAGACGCATTTCTGCATAGGCAAGGCTGTGAATGGACACGATTAGCCCGATCCCCGAAAGTATCAAAGATCAAAACTCACTTCCTTCCAAGACAGTTACGGGACCCAAGTGAGAATGGTTGAACTGCTGTCCGACTGTCCGACTCGAAGCGTTTGTCTCTGCTCTCCAGCCATCTCTCGGGGATAAACGAGTCGGCTTTGGTAAAATGAGACTCGGAATGGTAGGTAGAATAGTGGGCCCCAGACACAGAAACCTGTTGAAGTCAATATACATAAAGATCACACTTGGAAGTAGAGACATACGTTCTCTGGAACGAATTGCCCATCGATCAATGCACCCTCCTTAGGTACAACCCGCGGAATAATAGCCGGGACAGGTGGGTAAACCCGCAGGCTTTCCTCGAGTGCTGCATTCAGGTAAGTCAGTTGACCAACTCTCTGGAAATCAATATCGTCGTAAGATTTGAATGATCCTCGGATTTCGTCCACGAGTTTCCTATAGGCCAAAGGGTTTGCCATGATATAATAGGTGAACCCGGAGAGTAGACTTGCCGTCGTCTCACTCCCAGCGAGTATCAGCAATGCCGCGTTTGCTTCCATCTCCCGTATGGTCATAGACCTGTCATCATTGTATCGCAATATGCAAGTCATAAAATCTGGCCGTTCAACCTTAGTCTCCAATCGGCGATGGACTTTATTTGTTGCCAAAGCGAATAATTCTTCTCGCATCTTTATGAGCCTTTTCGGGAGGAGCCTTCTGACAATCGGTGCCAAAAAGGGATAGACTAACAATGGTCGCGATAATGCCATTACTTTCACGCTCACAAAGACTATCTTGACCCATGGGTGGTATTGGCTTTCCTGTAAGCAGTCAAAGGGTTCGCCAAAGGCTAAATCTCCGATGATGTCAAATGTAGTGAAGTTGTACCACTGAGACATGTCGACTGTTTCCTGCGATGATGAGACCACCTTCAGTCGCTCCACCAACATGTCAACATATGACTGAACTAGGCCTTCTTGCTCGCGCAGGGCCTTTTCAGAGAAGGCATGCGAGAGCAATCTTCTTTCTCTTGAATGATCTTCGTCGTTGGCATTGAGAAGGTTTGGTCCTCTCGGCCCCAGAAGGTAGAATTTGGGGTCTTTCAGGAACGACCCGGTTCCCGGTTTGCGGTGGCCGTAGATATCTTTCCATGCCTGCGGGCTGCGATAGACAAGAGACATGGGAGCTGTCCGAACTACATCTCCATACTTATCATGGAGCTCCTTGAGTTTGTAGTGATACTGTCCTGTGGATGTCCAGTATAGGTTTTGGAGATTGGTGCATGCGGCAAGTTTCGGTCCCGGAAACTTCGACAGTGGGCTAAAGTAAAGGTTGTAAACCACGGTCCATAAAAGATATCCTAAAGGCTGGAATATTCTCAGTGCTGTGACTCAGATGCAAAAAAAAATTGAAACACTTACAGTGATGGCCACCAGATAGAGTATGGGCATCGTATTGAAAGTCCATGCGTTAGAATTCCAAGATAGCATAATGAGAATCAACAGTCAGCCCGTCTTGATAGATGGCAATCTTTGGATAGAACAATGGATAATTTAGGTGCTTCGCAATCAAGCGGTTGTGATTTGAAGGATAGGCCAAGTGGGATGTAGACATTTCCCCGCAATGTCACATGGAATCCCACCTGGGTAGCGTCTTAGTACTTGGTCATCGTGCATCTCGACGTGCATTTGAGCGAAGGAACGCCGCATGATAAAGATTGGTTGGACTCTGTAGACATCAGTGCTCTTGGGTAAATATGAAATCATTTCCATAGCCTCGGAGCTTGCAGCTCTGCGGGCCATAGATTGGAGTTCTGTGGAAGATTCCAAGGATGCAACAATATACAAGGGTAAATCATATTATGGCTAAAGCTTTTAAATCCCATCTCACTTTTGTCCACAGTTTCAAGTATCACAGGTCAAGATTCATAACGAGCCAAGGAAGTCCATCATCCAGGCCTCATCAATCTCACCCACAGGCATAACATCAGGGAGTATAGCATCAGACTGGATCATGCCGCAATCTATCCCGTTATTCCCGGGTATATCTGAGCGCCACATTTCCATCAATTTCGGCTCCCAGTTCATTCTCATGCCTTGGATCATTCTCAGCCCCTTTTCGAGGAGGTTCATTTCCCTGCTGTGGTCGAAAGTGGTATAGTCTGGGCACCTTCTAATGATAGCTTCGTTTCTGTTCAGGTATTCGAGGATGTTTGCGGTGTCTCGGACCATACTTTTGGACCATGCCGGGTCTTCCAGGACGGTGAGCCGGTACAGGCTGACAATGCTTCGGGTGAATTGGAAAAAGATTATACATGATAGCTGTAGGTACTCCTCTGCTTCAAGTTCTATCCATACATCTAGCCAGCCTTTTGTTGCTCGGAGGGAGGTGTAAAGGCTGTCGAGGCGGTGGGGATCAGGCGAATGTGGAATGGCGGGGGTTCCTATTGATATTTCGTTGATTATGATTTCGGCATTGTAGAGAAACAGCAGGATGACCCCTTTTGTCTTGTTAGTCATAGCTGTGGAAATTCAACAGGGGTAGAAGCGTACTGTGATGTTGAAGGTGAGGCGGAATTTGGGCCTTCACTGCGTCTAATTGATTTTTGAAGCTATCCAGATAGAAGGGTAGCGAGATAAAAACCCCACCATCCCGCCGCAGTTGATATACTCTGTCTAAGACCAAATGGATCTTGACTAGTGCAACCAAAAGCTCATCCTGGGGACACTCTTTAGTCTCGGTGAGTATTGAAAGACTTTCTTCCATGTGCGGTGTCCAGCGCATAGCGTCGATCCTGGATATTGCCAATGCGGCGCTGGTAGTATAACTGTTAATTATTGGTTAGAGAGATTCTTTGGGCATTTACTATTTACCTTGATGAAATCAAGTAGCATCCCAGCACAGCCCTCCTTTCTTCCAGTGTTCTGGCTGCGGGTGGAGCCTGCTTCATTCCAATGGCGTCTTTGAAAGAACTCATGGCCGAATAATCATTTGGGCCATTGATCCCAAGCTCGGCGACAACTGCCATCAGGATGTGTGCGTAGATATTTAGGAATGGCCTTTTAGAGTATGAAACCCTGCAAAGAGAATTGTAATGAGGAAAGTGGTTTCCATAAAGGTATTACTTTTCTGCTCACCATGATACGAAAGTCATGATTCCAAGGAGAAGATCCATGCTCGGCACAAGGTCGAGCATAACTCTCTGGTGAATATGGTTGGTTATTCTCCCGAAAGAGTCCCCTTTTTCTGGGCTGTTACATGTGGTGACTTCCATAATACATACCCAGAGGAACGGATATTGCTGTCGTAATTGGTCAGAGGTCATGTTGTCAGGAATGTAGACAAAGGGGAGATATTGCAAGTTCCGAGTGCGGAAATGGTCGAGGTACTTCTGAGCCATGGCGGGCGGGACGTAGATCAGGGATAAGATCTCCTTATCGTACGAAGGTAGAAACTGTGCAGGATACTGTCCTTCTTCAGCAGTTGAAAGAGGAGAGACACTATGTGGGCTTTGAGTGGTTGGTGCAGATTGACTTGGATCATGCCGTGAACTCTGTCTTTGGTTTACAGGCTGCCAATCTGGGGGAAGACCGGGGGGGGCACCACTCTTTTCAAATGCGGACATGATCCAATCAAGTTTGGCCTCGATATGGGCAGTATTAGAACCCAACGGTCGCTTATTGCGCTTGCGGACTGTCTGCGCAGGCCGGCATTCCTTGTTTAGGCGCTGGCATCTACCCATGGTGTGCTTAGTTCGGGCCTTTGCCACACTGTCTAGCAGTGCCACTCACCTTTCACAGCCAGTACCAGTTGCGGGAAGAATACACTTGCACTTGGCACGGGAACAGTTCATACATGCGCGGCCATATGGCGCAGGGGTCCCGGCTGGGATTTGAGCGGATTCCATCCCGATGCCCGGTGGGATTCGGGATTAGGAGATTAGATAGATTAGGGTATCTCAGAAAGATGTAGAACCTAATACGGACTAAAATGAAAGCAAATAATGGCAATATGCACCTCTCTCAACAGAATTAAAATCTAAAAGGAAAATGAAAAAGGAGAGATTTGCCTCAAAGAGCTCGAAGGAACAAAGAAACACATCTGAGCTGTCGGAGTTGGGAAGTTGCGAAATCCGGCTGACTCAGACGATCCACTGGACCTGGCCAGCCCTATTTTGTACTTCGTATAGCCCTGGAGTATGCGAGGGCAAGTGTATAAGCATGACTCTGTTGAATCTCTTCTTAATATAGTCTAGGCTGTAAGGAGAGAAAAATGTCCGTATATAACATATAGCTTAGGAAGGCAAAAATCAAGTTTCACTTGTTTCCAATACCCCACGGACTATTGATAATATACAACACGTAATAAAACACATCTTTAAGGAGAATCTTGGGCAGTAGCGAGATATATCTCACACGGCGTGACCGAGTGCCGAAATATATCGGTTATTTTAGATGTGAATTATAGGCATTTATTCACCAAACCTTGACTCGAGCGCTCTTGCTTTTGACGGGATTAACCAGACAACGCACGGTGTCATCAAACCAAATATAAGGTACTATGTATGTAGGTAGTGGACCTTGGGGATGTATTCCTCTACAGTCTCATAGAAGTTCACGGTGCCAAACGTTACTCAGAGTTGAGGTGGCTTATCCCAAACATATAAGAACAGGGATTATAGATTATACCAATAAACCTCAGCCTCACCACCACGTGCCTAAGCGAGGATATCCTGTGTAGGTAGAAACCCCCCATGTCTACCTCCACAACTTCAACTTAACAACCTAAGGGTCTACAATAGAGAGACACACTAATAGATATACGGGAACGGGATCAGACGCCTTTCGGTCCCGTTATGTCCTGCAATTTCAACTGCTCAGCTCCCACCCCCGCCTTATCTGAAAACAGCGATATCACTGGAATTGGGGTATGAGTTTCCCTTATGCCTTTCTCTTGTTGGCCACGGGCGCATCTCACATTCTTAGATCATTATCAACAATATCGTGACTGCCGGCTTCGCTGTAGTGGTCATTCTCCTCCACTACGTCGCCATCTACGATCCAACCCGCGACCCGTCTCAAAAAGATGGTCAAATTCCAGCAACTCCATTTCGACCTAACCCGATAGACGAAAGCATCTTAACAAACCTCAGATTACTCCTAAGGCATGTACCTTTCGTCAAAAATGGCAGCAAAAAATTCTCAGACTTCTTACTCAAGGTGGGTTAATTCTCATGAGATCAGATTAGTGAATCGGGAATGATTAAGAACAATTTCGAAAAAACAGTGCATCCGAGCATTGAGCGACATACAAATCGTGACCGGCTTCTCTATCCTGATCAGCGGGTTTCTCCAGCTCAGATGCGGTCTATCAACGTATCATTGGCAAGTCGTCGTCCACCTGGGCTGGCTTTCCTGTCTGACTCAGTTATCTTGCTTAACGCTTCTACGCAACCATCTCCACGATCACTCCACTGAGCGGGTGTTGAGGTTACTGGCAGTGGGTGTATTAGTGATACTGTTGATCGTGGGTCTTAGTTTCACCGGAAACTATCACTGGGCTTTTGACGCAGACAATGACGATCACCCAACTCTTAGTGACTCTGCAATCTGTCATATGCGCCCTCATCCGGGCATCAACTCGGCATTTCTATCAATGCCTTACTTGATGATCTTGATGATCTTTGGATTTGCTTCGAGGGTGATTAACCTCTACGATACACTTTCAATTGGTGTTGTTGGACGGGCCAGAACATTCCTCGCACGGCCCATACGAAGGTTATTACACATTGTGTATGACTGGAGCGATGTGAATGACTGGAGAAATATGTCTAACTGGAGCGGTGCATCAGGCTCGCCGCGGAATCTGAAGTTGATGCTTTGCTATCTTCCCCTCTTGTCTATCCACTTCACGTGTTTGGTGCTCGTAGATGTGTGGGATTCTGCCATTACAGAGGTCGGTCTTATATGGGACGCGTGCTGATCATATCTCTCTGTTTTCTGACTTGGTCTTAGGTCGGCTGGTTAATCATCGCCTTTGCATGTGGTATTATCCGGCTGATAAGGACGATATATCGACCGAAACAGAAAGGCCTCGAGGCTTCGTTGACTGGTTTTGATGATTGGTCGTTTGGCCAAGTTGCTTCTGTGGTGTTACTGGCCGCACCGCTCATCACAGTCATCGAATATATCCAGGAAGGTGGGTCAAGTTCTAGTGGTTATTATCTAGGATCAACTGAGAGGTCTAATACTGGCATAGAAGATGAGCCTCGCGGACAAGATGAGACTCCCGCAAAAAATGAGACTGACACACAGGATGAGACTCACCCACAGGATGAGACTCGCCCACAGGATGAGACTCGCCCACAGGATGAGACTCACGTACAAGACGGATCACAAACTCTCTCTGACAGCCAAACCGTACCCCCGCTCGAACCCCGTTCTATATCAGACCCAACCATCGTGGACCTCAATAAACCCGACAATGATTGGGTTTCACACCTCAAAATATCTGATCTGATCGGTGTACATATAACCAGGTTGGCTTTCGCAGTTATCCTCTGGGCGGCAGAAGGTGATCCTTTCACCAATACGAACGAGATGTTCTTAGACAATTTCCTCTTCGCGGGTCTTTGGACGTTTGTACTCATTCTTTGCTCTTTGATGGTGGAGACTGCATTTGCGGACCGAAGACCTTATCTTACCCTCTGTCTAGAACAAGGGGTAAAGTTATACAGCATTGGGTTTATAAGTTTATCTCTCCCCATTTGGGCGAAGGTTGTTTATTGTCTCCTGCCACTCCTCATTACCGGTGTTTTGGCGTATCGATTTTGGTGCTAAGCGGGAGCTGGTCGTGGTACTCGACTCCAAATGGTAATGTAAAAAAGTCGGTTGAGTGTTAGTCTTCATCCATCAGACTAGGGACTTCCATTTATTTCTTTGGGCTTTCGAACCAGAAAGTGCACTTTCTCTGTGCGAAAAAAAAGAGCCTTCGCGGATTTGCATTTTTGCTCCTTGCTTGTGTAATAAATGTTGATTAGAGAACACTGGTTTGCTCAGGCGATAATGAGACAATGTTGATACATGTACTTGTGTTAAAAGGGGTTTACAAGGGACAGATGCTATCGCATCCTAGTTTATCTTTGGTGTCAAAGTAGACAAGATGTCCAGATGCCATTGGTGCCGCGAACCCGAGTAAACGGGGCACGGCTACAGACTAGGTGGTTCGAAATGACAGGTTCAAAAGACCAAATAGAGATATCACAAAGCTCCGCCAACCAAAATACCAAACCCAGAGAAATCTGAGTCCAGCCGGTAGTTTTGACATCGATCTATCCCTCATGTATTCCTCCTTTGATCCCCATCACAAAGCCCCCAGTCAACCCGACGACTGAAACGAGGCCTGCTACTCACAGTCGCTCAGTAGAAATAATCTACTGCTCGGTCTGGAAGTAGTTGAGGAGAACGGAGCGCTCCTGGGACTCCTCACCCCAATCCTTGACAACGACGCAAGAGCAGTTGACAACCTTGCGGGCGTTACCCTCACGGTCGAGAGTGCCTAGAAAACAAAATGTTAGGAAATACAGCCCCAAAAAGAATATCTTGTGTCAAGATCGGGGGGAAAACTTACAGAGACCGACCCACTCGCCGAGCATCTTTCCGTCAGGAACCTTGATGAGGGGGATCTTGTGCTCGGAGCAGAGAGCGACAACGAGCTTCTTGTAAGCCTCCTCCTCGCAGCCCTCGTTGAGGACACACATGTGGGCCTCGCGGCGGTCGAGGGCCTTGGCGGCCTCGCGGAGACCACGGGCAAGACCGTCGTGGATCAGGGAGACGCGCAGAACACCCTTGAGGGCGTCCAGGACGGACATCTGGCCGCTGCCGGCATCGGCAGAAACCTCGACCTCCTCAGCGGGGGCGATGGGGGATGTGGGCTCTTCTCCGTCCGACTAGAGGATTCTTGTTAGTATCGTGTGCTTCATTATTTCCATTGCTTAGATCTCTGTCATGACTCTTAAGTCTTGGAATTGGACTGGATCGGCGCAGTATAGATAAGAGGGCCGACGAGGGGTAGCCTCTGGTACGGCGACGCAATCGCTCGCGCCGGCTATGTCCATTCCAGTGTCTCAATCGTCGTGACGAGATCCGAGGCGGGTGTGGGTATGGTGTGAATGTAATTCACAGATATGAAACATACCATTTTGTTGCTTGTTATGCTTGAAATCGGATGATCCTCGAAGAGTAGAGTTGTTGGAGAGAGAAATTAAGACGTGGTGCGGGCGGCGTGAAATTTCCCGCTATTTCGACTTTTTCGGCTGTGTGTGCCCTACGATTATGTCATGTAGTTCCCGCATATGTAATCACGTGATATGTTTATACATCCATACAATGAATGAATGTGACAAGTCCGGTTGGATGGAGCTGGTAATGTAATGTTTTAGGTTTCTAACTTAGTATGGGATTTTCTGCCTTTCTAAAAATGTCTACATGTATCTCTATTGAGGGAATTGTGTTTGAATTTGGTGTTATTAACACAGGTATGCATGATTACATTCATGACCACAGTGACTACTAAACCACAGCAAAACTACCTAACAGTAGAATCATCACTGAACGCAAGAGGTATCATAATCGTACAATCAGAATCCGCCCTGTACACCGCTTCGCTGAATTGCTGACGTCACGCCGGGTCTGCAAAAAGACGCTGAAAACAAAACTAGACGTATGTACTAGACCGAGAAGGGCCATAACCATTGAGCCCGGTGCCGTTGGTTTCGACTGATTCCGGGCCATGGCCATTGGGTTGGGGAGTGCTGAAGCCTGCACCAGCCAGCAGTGGCTCCGAGTCGACGTGCATGTTCAAGAACTGCAATTCTAGGCCGTGCAGGTGAGGGATGTGTGGGACGAGGTCTGTGAAATCAGAAAGCTAAGAAACTTGTTAGCTGTGAAGCGTAACCTGCAAGGCTCAAGAAAACTTACTCGGATCCAGAAGACATGCTCCATCTCGAAATACTTGGGGCGCGTGTCACAATCCTTCTGCATGATCTGTCCAATGCTCGAGCTTTGAAATCCAACATCGTCCGTATGGGTCAGCATGCGACGAGTGACTCGCCAGAGATTTACACGTTGAGTCGGTGTCGCCTTTCGCTTCTCCCAGCTAGCGTATTGCGAAAGCTGCAGATCATTGGTGGCTAGGAGAGGGGCAACCAAGTAGTTCGGGATCCATTTCTCGTCGGCGACATCCACACCACAGCTAGGATCGAGTTGACGGGTGAGAGCAGTAACGAGAGGCATGAAGGACTTGAGCCAGTCATGGCTCTTCGCGCGGGGATTGTTGGATCCCACGAGGTTTGCTGCAACACGAAGGCGACTGGGAAGAGCCTCGCGGCGTCGGTGCTCTGCTGCCTCCTGATCACGGCGCATCTTGGCAGCTCGAGCGCGTTCTTGCTCCAACCGCTTCAGACGATCATCTTCGGCTTGTTTGGCGCGTCGGTGTTCAACCTCCTTGCGTTTGCGCTCTTCCTCTTCGGCCTTTTCAACCTGAGCCACTCGTTCGGCTTCTTCTTTCGCGAGTCGATCGCGTTCAGCTTCGTCTGCAATGCGCTTTTCGTTCGCGGCACGCTCCTCCTGCGCCTTCTTGGCCTGGGCTCGTCGACGCTCATGGGCTTCAAGCTCGATACGTTTCGCGACGGCCATTGTGTCTTCCATGGGATCAGCTCTGGGCTCGTATAGTTCTTTTTTCGTATCGCCGTTCTTTTTAACGGGGTCATGACGGGGTGAAGTCGGGCGGGGTGAAGTTGGGCGGGTTGGGGGTTTCTTAGAGGCATCGGTGGATTTGTGTGGTTGAGGTTCAGCAGCTCGAGTGGATTCCTCATGAGGTCGGCGAGGATGAGGTTTGCTGGTATCATCAGGTTGTCTTGGCGCACCATGTGTAGCGCCAGAAGACTTATCTTCAGAGACAACCCGTCTCTTCTTTTTGCGCGCCTCAGGGGATAAGCGATCACCATCTGTGCCACGGGAACGAGATCGTTCCGGGGACCCATCAGCGCGAATGCGCTTCAAGGACATTGTGTTGTCGGGTGCTGTGTCAACACGCGACTTCGGTGCCTCTTCGCGTCCAGAGAGCGAGTCAGACGAAAAGAGACTTGGCCTGCGCTCCTGGGGGCGACGTCCAGCAATGAGTCGTCTCTTTCGGATATCTTCGTTGGGTACCACCCCACTAGACTCGCTGTCTCGTCTGGCAGATGACGAAGATTTGGGTTTGGAGGAATCCGATGGTCGTGATAAATCGTGCTCTTTTTGACGACGCTTTTCCTTGATTGCATCCATTTCCTTCAACGAATCGCGATTTCGGTTGGCGTTGGGGCTGTTGTTTTTCTTGCGCGCGACGGGAGAGGAAGACCTTCTGCGTGGGGGACGTTTGTCCTCCTTCTCTTTCCCGCGAGCACGGCGGGGTGAGTCGTCTTTGCGACCCTTGTCAGAACCTGCAAACCTTTCATACGCTTCCTTCAGAATCTGATGTTCCTCTTCCCAGTTCTCGCCCTGTCGACCCCGAGACAGTTCAAAATAAGTCCTTTCTTCAAACAGCCGTCGAGTTGGGTTGAATCCAGGTTGGTTTAGGATAAGCTGGATAACAGCGCTGTTGCCTCGACCAATCGCAGCAAGCATAGGCGTGTTGTAACCCGGTTTTTGACCACGCAACGGGTTTGGATCCGCGTCTGCATTCCCCATCGCATACAAAAGAGAGAGGACATCGTGGTGGCCACCCTTTGCCGCAGCAATCAAGGAAGCGTTGTCGGCTTTCTGCAAAATGTTCAGAATGCTCACCACCCCAGCCTCATCGCCTTTCGCGGCAAACTCTCGAAGGTTCTCAAATGTGGGTTTCGTCCACAGGAGGTCATTTCTCGTGGCTTCGCTCCGCCCACCCTTTCGTCGATTTGCCGCGCCCACTGGAGGAGGGCTGCGCATCGGAGGCGAATCTCGGGGGCTAGCTACCGATCCTCTGACTGCCGAAGCTCGTCGCGAAGAAGGTTCCTTGCTCTCTGGTCTTGTATGTTCCTCTGAGCGTCGACCAGGCCGTAAATTGACCTTGGCGTCAGCAAGCGCTTTCCGCATCTCTTCATACTCATCATCATCTACAAAGGACGGAACCAACTCATAAGGCTCATCGCCTTCAGCATTCACAGTTCGTGGGTTTGCACCTGCATCAAGTAGAAGTTTGACCACCTCCACATTCCCGTTCTCCACGGCATCAATCAACGGGGTGTCTTTGTCAATGTTCTTAGTGTTGATCTCGCAGCCTGCGTCTAGCAGGAACTTGACGATTTCGGTTTCTCCAGCAAGCGATGCGATCTGCAGGGGGGTGTTGCCTGCATTATCGGGGATATTAATGTCTTCCGGTCGTTCAGCATGGCGCATCATCACTTGATCATGTTTCCGATCCGCACACGCTCGCGCAAGAGGAGTCCGGCCACTCTTGTCACGCAACTTCTTCGGTCCCATTTGCTTCGCAGGCGACGCGGACGCACCGACTCCAATGCCAAGCTTCCGCAGGTGCGCCGGCAGTGGGGAACCGCTTTGAGAGGAGGATGTCGATTGTCTATCTTCGGAGCTATGTCGCCCAGAGCCTGAGAGCACGGGGGTCGGCGCCTTCTTCTTCGTCGGGAACTGAGAGCCCGAAGCAGATCGTTGGTGAGATGGTCGGCTGGGTGAGAGTGATCGCGCGTTGGATGGAGGTCTTGAGAGGCGCGTATTATTGGTATGTTTAAGCTCCCGTACAGGATGGGATGCTGCATGGGAGTGTGCGCGACGATGACCTCTTTGCTCCTCGGCACTGTCACTTAAGCTCCGCTTACGGAAAGCACGAGGTACCTCTGACGTACGGGCGATTCCATTGGCAACGCCTTCCGTTTCTGACATCTGAGAATCATCGACCTTTTCAATCTTGACCACCGACGGCGAAATTGCTCGGTGGGTTGGAGGAGGGCTCCGTTCCTGCTCCCGTTCGCGTTCTCGGATGTCGCCAAACACCCGTGGTTTCTTTCGTTGATGTCCATCGATTCCGTTAGGTTCATAGCGACTCGGGTCGTGTTTGATATGCTTTCTTTTCTTTTCTGGCGACAAAGATTCTCGACCTGATTGGATTATGGTCTCCGCCTCCGAATCCGCCCTAGGACTAGGAGGCCCGTCCTCCTCCCCTTCTGAATGTACACGTGTCGGTCCATCGCTGTCTACCCGTGGGTGAGAGTCTACACGAGCTTTGCCCGGTGATGAAGGGCCAACAGGGTCTGGCTTTACAGTGGCAAGCCTATTCTGACCGACGTCCAGGGCAGCTGGTAAAGAGACTGCCTCGGCATCACTCATAGCGATAGCACTCGAAGACTTGAAATGCCGCTCGTCATTTTGGGGGGGGAAACGCGACCGACAAAACAACCGTGGTCGACAACGCCAGCAGTTGTGCGCGGATGTCGATCCTCGACCGCGGGTTTCACCCGCAGAGAGTCTTGAAACGTGGGCAATACCGCTCCGGGGGTACGGGAGCGATACGGGATGGTGGTCGAGGAAGTCCAGATATTGGATTTACTGGTATAGGTATATATGTCGAGGGTTAAATTCGAGGGTTGTTTTTCACTTGGGGAGTTGAATGGGGGAAGAAAGAGAAGGGAAGAGGAAAAGCGGGAAGGGAAAGGAATGGGACTGGATTCATTGGGTGTAGGGCTCCTCACTGGGTCAGGTTTGGCCACAGTAGAATCATCGAGCTGCAGGTGGGATTTTGACTACTAGAAACATGGTTTTGTCTAAGAGGGGTCGACATTAAAGCTCTGATATTTTACTTCTTTTCTTTTTTTTCTTTTCTCATCCTTGAATGTACTTCCTGTTCCGAGGGTACTTATACTCCAGATGTCCATACGGGAGACGATACGATTGATACGATGAAACCGTGAAAAAAAGGGGGGCACTGACCTCTGGCCACTAACCCTAACTCGGAAGTTGCAAACTCGGCAAACAACCTATCAAGGCTAGACCAAATGCGGTCAAGTGGATTTGCCTCAAAAACTCGCCACTCAGCGCATCAGTTCATATCTGACCCATGACCAGTTTATGTTGTTACCTATAATATGGTCCTTGAAGCATCTGTAGAAACCAGAAATAACATACGGCGTAAAAATACCATACCTCTCTCTGTGATCGACCCCAATTGCCCCTAATTTCCCCAATTCCTAAGCTAATTCTGAGGCCGAGCTAACTCCAAACGCTCCCGTTGGCGAGAGCTGAAGGATCGGCGGGGGGCTGGTTTTCTCCACAATAAATACCTCCCCTAAAACACCTCACTGATATCATCACAATGACACTAAATTAGAAACAATACGAAACAAAAACGGGGGACAAAAAAAGAGGGAAGGGGAGAAGGAGAAAAAAAAGTCCTATTCAAGAGTCATGTCTCTAATCTCTCAATGGGTCGATAACACCCTGGAAGCCACCGGCATGGATGCCGTGGATGCTCTACGCGCGTTCTTCCTGCTGGCCGCCGCCACGGTACGATACGCCCGGTGATAGTTGGTGATAGTGAACACCACCTGCAGACGAACCCAACTAACGCCGACCCCTCGTATGCAGACCATCTCAATCAGTATCCCAACCTCATTACGGTCCCGCTTCCTCACCTATGGCCCACGCGCGACCCCGGCATCGATCCCCACCGACTCTGCACCACCTCGCGTCCAGAACCCCTCCACCGAGAGCAAGGGCTTCCTTGATTATCTCGCTACTTGGCAGGTGCCACATAGCTATTTCACGCATTTCTACGTTGCATCGGTCCTTTCGTCGGTTTTCTGGGTTGCGCAATTGCTATCGCGGGGTGTAGTGTTCCAAGTCATCGCCTCCCGCGTTAGCGAGGATCATCAGCGATACTCCATGTCCCTGACGCAGCTGGTGATCTGCTGTGTGCTATTGGCCATACAGGGATCCCGGCGTCTATGGGAGTGCTTTATCTTTTCGAAACCTTCGTCCTCGCAGATGTGGTTTATGCACTGGCTGTTGGGCTTGGGTTTCTATCTAGCGGCAGGAATTGCAATTTGGATCGAGGGTTCAGGAACTCTGTTGACCAAGGATTTGACCATTGCTCATCTGCAGATGACCAACGCCCCAAGTTTGCGGACTTTTTTCCTCATCCCGGTCTTCCTGGTGGCGTCTGGTCTGCAGCACGACTCCCATCACTACTTATACTCGTTGAAAAAGTACACCCTCCCGGAGCATCCCATGTTCCGCGGTGTTGTCTGTCCCCACTACGGCGCAGAATGCGTTGTCTACTTGTCGTTGGCGCTGTTGGCCGCGCCGCGAGGTGAATGGGTCAATAAAACCATGTTATCTTGTCTGGCTTTCGTCGCAGTCAACTTGGGTCTAACAGCTCGGAATACCAAGGAGTGGTATGCGCAAAAGTTCGGCAAAGACTCAGTGCAGGACTGGTGGTTAATGATTCCCTATGTGTACTAACATAAAGCCAAAAAGAATTTTCTAAAATACCAGAAGTTGGAAATGAGTTGATCATTACTTCCCACCTAAAAACTTCAAGGTATTCCCCACCTTCACAACCTGAAGCACGTCCCTATATGTAAGGCTAGTTCTCGTCTTCCGCTCGTACCACCCGCCCTGGTATGGTTCCCTTTCCCGCAAGAGCTCCCAGTTGCAGATAGAGTGGGGGCCCAGATCCTCATCGCTCGTCGTTTCCTCGATTCCGTGCAGAAGATCTGTGTACATCTTACCCCTCGTGATCAGCAGACTCCGTCTCTCCTGCAAGATTCTGTATTGAGGTTTTCGATTTTTGTCGGGTATCCCGGCAACGTTTCTTCCACCTTTGGCTTGTGTGTCGCCTTTGATGTGTTTGTGGTACAAATCAAGCACGATCGGTGCCCCTAGGCTCACTGTCGCAACGAGGGGATAGTAGGTAGCACCATCTTCGTGCAGCATGATCCCTTGTCCAGGCTGATACTCGTTCACTAGGACATGGTTGGGCGCCTTGTGTGGCGCATCGTTGAAGATATCCAGTGCCTCAAACCGCGGCTCGATGATCGGAGATCTAAGCCAAGCTGGTAGGGGCGATGCGAGAAGGGCATTACTCTTTGTCAGGGCTGATGGCCATGTTTGAAGCCTGCGGTGCGAGAGCTGGGTCCAGCGCGGCAGCGGCGCTGATTTTACCTATGGATCGTTGCAGTGAGTGAGATCTGAACATGAATAAGTGGCATGCAGTGTCTATGGATAGTCGAGGAGAAATGACATATAATCACAAGCACATATATCCGTCCAGTATCTAACATCAACCGTGCAAGGCACGGTTTCTAAGAACATATCATTAAGCAATCATTGGCACTTACCTTCTGGAGTAACCAACCCTCTTCATCCTCTGTAATGAAGTCTGATATATAGAATGCATCTTCAGGCAAAGCGGTGATGCGTGCAGCTTCAAGATCGAATCCCATTTGCTTTCCAAGCTCGGTCTGATACCGGGCTTCTATTCCCCCGATATTTGCTAATTTCAGTTGTCTTTTGTCTCGGCAATAGTTATTGATGAAGGGTTAACAATTTGGGCAAGGTCAAAGAAAAGATGAATATTTTCATACATGTGTATACCGCATTAGGGTAGGTAGAGAGTCAAATACACCTACATCCACGTCACACCCTTTCTGCTTTGCAACCTCAGGCAGAAATATCCCACCCCACATCAGCGCAATCCGAACAACCAACGGCCGAAGCAGCGATAACAACATATTATTGAAAACTCTCGCCCACAATGGCCCCAAAGAACAACGCCAAAGCTGCCAAGGGCAAAGGCAAGGATGCCTCCGCCGATGACGCCAAAGGCAAAGGCGGAAAGGGAGGAGCCGTGAAAGGCGCACAGTCAATTAACGTGCGACACATTCTTGTATGTCTTCTTGCTCTTCTCTTTCCAACCCCAGGTCCTCTGTGTATAGTACTAGGATCTGGCCAAATAATACCAGATTCTGTAGACAGGGAAAGCGTTATTATATAGCCCATTCTAATTATGTCTAGTGTGAGAAACACTCCAAGAAAGAAGAAGCTCTAGAGAAGCTTCGCAATGGCACCAAGTTTGATGAGGTTGCTCGTGAATTCTCGGAGGATAAGGCTAGACAGGGTAAGTAAATCTCTGAGTGACGAAATGAACAGAGCTGATTTATTTTCTGCAGGAGGGTCGCTTGGATGGAAGACGAAGGGTGGGCTGGACCCTGCATTTGAGAATGTCGCTTTTGAACTTGAAACTAGCACAACGGGAAATCCCAAGTATGCTGAGGTCAAGACTGGGTTTGGATATCACATCATCATGGTTGAGGGCCGTAAATAAGCTTCTTCCCATTACTTATGCCCTCTAAAAGACAAACCGTCACCTCAAGAATATACCTAAAAAGATCTGAGAAAATATGTAGAAGCTTCCCAGAGGCTGTAAATTATGCTCTATATTTTGGGAATCTAAATGCTCTTCACATGAAAGCTTATCTACAAAGCTTAGCAAAACACCTTACAGCTCCTTCTTCGCAGCCTCAATCTTCGACCGCTCTTTCGCCTTCTTCTCGGATCTTTGTACCACTGCTTCGGCGCCAATGCCGCCGAAGACCAGACTGATCCCCAGCCACTGGCCACCGGATAGAGAATGTCCGAACCAGAAAACGCTGAGAAGCATAGTCAACATCTTACGTGTAACGGTGACAGTGACAAGCAGTAGTGAAGAGAAGCGAGACAGAGTGTGGAAAATGAAGAGCTGGCCAACAGCGCCGCATGCCGCGAACCCAAGGACATGTTTCAACGCCTCTGGGTGGCGGGAGAGGAAAGACAAGGCACCAAACAGCTCAGTCTCAGTGGACGGGGGGATGGGGAAGGGCAGGAGGTTATGCAAAATCCCGCTCTGAGAGAGGTGAGGCATGATCAGGAGGTACGCAGAAGTCAGAATGGTCGAGAGGAAATTCTGAGCGACCATCATTTGGGGTCCAGTGAAGCGGGTGTACAGCTTCGGTGAGGAGAAGACATGGTCTTGGGTGGTGTTGGTCAGGCCATCCAAGAGGAGGTTGATGGACAACAAGAAGATGCCCCATCCGGAGGATCCAGTTTGATTTTTGGCGGCGACTTTCTTGCTAGTTCCTGGGTGGTGCAGACTGAAAGTTGCGACACCGAGAGTGACCATCAGGACAACACCGTACTTGTACAGTGGGTATCTCTTGCGGAAGATGGTCAGGTGCAGGACCATGACCGGGAGGAGCTTGCATGATTTGGCAAGAATGAAAGTCAGGTAGTCGATGTGTTGGAGACTAGCGTAACCGAAGGGTGACGCAAGTGACGAGGAGATTGCGACTAGCACCAGGGGGAAGATGATCCGGCGTGTGGGGAAGATAGATGGGATCTTTTGGCCTTTCGGAGTTGAGAACAAAAGGTATGTAAAGCCGGTGATGGCCGCGAAGGAGGATTGGATCGTGTTCAGCACCAGGGAGTAGGTGAATCGCTCCGTTGGAGGGTTTGGTTCCGCAACAGTTGCAGGACGAACGAGATAGCTGGTCGTCGTGATCGCCTCCTGTAGCACACCCCAGGAGAGGCTTTTGTCTTATTAGTTTCTTTGGCCGGTTTTAGATATCAGGCGAAACGCGGTCGAGGTACTTACAATGCCGCATATATACCGAGAACGCAAATCACAAGTTGCGTCAGCCCAGCACTGTCGGCGACTGTCTCCAGGGCCGTTGATGCTTTTTCGGACGCGCTTCCATTTGCGGTAGATACTGTATTTTCTTTGCCAGTTCCAGTATTTTGTAGCGCATCGGACTCTTCTGAGAGCTGCACTAATTGAGAAGGGGCTCTCTGGAGCGGCGCTGCTTGCTTTTGTCGTCCCATTGCGATAAATCGGGGTGGAATTCAAGTTGGAGATGCAAGGATCTCGAACAAGACAAGACAATATAAATTATGTATGCGAAGGGATTGGCAAATAGTCTTTTGTCGACGATAGTCCTAGGTTGTCATGAGGGTCCTGGAGGATTCCTGGACCTGAAACCAAAAGAATAATAAATAAGATGCCATGTGTTCTTACTTCACCTCGTCTATGATCACCACCCCACTTAGTTTTCTTTCTCTCTTTTTTTAAAAAATTTTTTTTTAATTGAACTCAAGATGAAACAAGGAATGGACTTGAGACACTCCTCAAATTATCATTTCAAATCTCTCATTAACCTAACAACTTAGTTTCTTATCTCAACTATATAATCTAATTGAGGGAAGCGGTGTAAATAAATCAGGTCTAATCAGGCGGTGTGTCCCCAAAAGTCCCGAGATTTACAGTTCTCGACCAGATGTTTAAAGCCGACAAGACAAAAAGCTCCAAGAAAATATCCATGATGGCAGTCTCACAGGAAGCTACTAAACGGCCCAATGCATCAGCAATCACCGAGCATATCACCGAAAAAGGCTACGATTCCCCCCACCTCGCAACATCCGCCCAAGTCCAGCACAACCTCGAGCACCAACACCTCTGGACCTCTATAATGGGATACGTCATTCCTGGACGAGCAGACGACTCAAACTCATTAAACAAAGACCCCCGGCAACCACCAAAAGAACCAATTCCTCTGCTCTCCGGCTATCCCCCACACCGCGTGTACACACATCCAGACGAGCAGCTGTACATGCTAGAAAACGGGATCCGCGAAGACGACCTCGCACCAGAGCGCATGTTTGTGGTTCCAACTACACAGGGTCAGCCGTGGACCTTGCGCCATATGGCTACTGTGTTTGACCAGCTTCCTGAGTTCAAGCAAAAGGTTGAAGAGCAGGATCGATCCGTCAATCCTACAAGCGTGCAGCCGGGGGCGGAGGGTCTGGATCCTGAAAAGGCAGAGAAATTGGCTCAGTACTATGATAAGAAGGAGCGGACTCGTTTGACCGAGGAATGGGGCGCGCAAAGGTTCTTGCTTGCTATGGTAGATAAGGGCATGGGTGGGGACGGGACGGTGGCGTACTATGTTGTGCATGAAGGTGAGGTGAAGCCGAGGCAGAACTGAGTGTGCGGCGCTGGGGGTTCTCATATGTACACATTAATATCTATTGCATTTTTACCCCTCGCGGATTAACGACATGATGTAACGAATACTCATTCAAAAGAGCAATGAATTGAAATTATCCATGTGGTATCCAGAGTACATTCAAAGCAACAACTTGCATGATATGCGCCGAAATTATACACAAGAAATTTTGTTGGCACACGATCAGCTAGCCACAGGGTATAGTGATAAGCAAGAAGCAAGAAATGCTAGATGGCTGTGCAGAAGGCTTGACAATATGTTCAGGGACGGCTGGAAACTGCAGCAGGAAGAAAATCAAGGAATTAGGTCACCACGATCATTGAATATGACCTGTTGTTGCTCTATTCGACAACTCGAGCAGTACTCCTCATACCACTGCTTGACGTCGTCTGCATGCTCGGCAAAGATACGCTCGGCTTTGGCCGTTCGGCCCGTCTGCGGGTCGTCGCCCCGAGTGGCCTCTCCGCCAAGGAGAACCTCGACCTGGCGACAGCGCCGGACCTCCTCACGGAGCCAACGCTCCCATTCGGTCTGAACGACCTCTTTCTCGATGCTGTTCACGACACGCAATGCGACCAGAAGGTTGTGTCGATACATGCCAAGACGCTCACGGGTTTGCTGGAAGCGTTTGATGGCGCTCTTGGTCAATGCATCCCGCGGTCCCGATGGAGTGAGCGACAGAGGCATTTCGGAATATCGCATGGTTTGCTCATGGAAGGTAGCAAAGCAATCACTAGCATTGCCGGTACGGGGCCAGATTGTGGAGTTTGCAACCGCGTCATCAATATCCCGCATGTAGATAGATTTGCTCATAACGAGGTTTGGCTGTACGCCCAGCCGTGCCATGAAGTTTCCTGCGTGTCTCTCGTGCCACCAGTCCCAACTATCCCGTGAAGAATAGTATCCGTTCAGAATCGCACTTGTGGCCAACATGATCAGGATGATCTTATGTGCACTCAAAGTCTTCCAAGACCAGCGAACTACGCCAAACACCCACATCATTAGGAAGGAAACACTCGTTTCAAGGAATGACAACAAGGTCTCGAGAAGAAGCTCGTGCATGGCGCGTTGTGTTCGAGGCTTGCGGGGTTCCAGCTTCAGGTTGGAGCCAGCGCCGCTGAATTCGGAGACGTGCTTTTGGCGTCCAACGTGACCGAAGATCGTGATGGCTTTTTTAGTGCGACTGTGCGCACCCAATCGGCGTACTTGGTCACTGACTAGGTCGACAAGATCTAGGGAGTCTTGTTCTAGATCGTCACTCGCTTTTTTGTCGATCACACCTGGGTATGTTAGATATTGTATTCTATCCAAATGGAAGGAGTAAGAGGGGAGAACTCACTTTTAAGGCCGTAGGGAGACCATAGCCACTCGACTTTCGTATAAATAGCAAGCTTGCTCTTCGACTTGGCCTGGAATGTAATGACAACCTTGCTAACCAACCGGAACGAACGTCGGAAGGGGAGATGCCATGGAGTTTTCTTATCTGTGATCACATAGCACAGATGGTCGTTAAGAACATCGATGATCTGATAATCCGATATGGCATTTCCACGAGTACGACCTATACAAAATCAGTTATAGCTCAATCTCAAGATCATCAGTATTAAAGCCTACCAAGGATATCTGTCGTGCCGATATTGTAGTGGAAGTCACGCCTCAGATGCCGCAATTCTGTACTAACCCATGGGCCTTGCTTGATGTCTTTGAAATGTCAGCCATGTATAGGTGAAGTGATTGGGATCTATGATCGACGAACCTCGAGCTTGCCTCTCATGTAAAAGAAGCTGCCACACGGCGCTTTTGTCGCCAAATAATATATGGAACAAAGCTTTAGGGCTTATATCAAGAATTTTTTCGGTCACCAAAACAAGGTCACCTTGTGGAACATACTCCACAGGTTGGGTTGGGAGTCTAAATTTGGCAATGTCCCGGCCACGGCCAGTCCTGCCTGCATCCAGCTCAAGATCTTTGTCAATGTAAATAGGGAGCCGAATGTCCTTCGCATGACTAAAGTCTATAGGCTTACCCCCGTCGTGTTTGATGTCTGCAAGTCCAGATGAAAGATCTTCCCAGCTATCTGCACTGGAATTTCGGGCTGGAGACCCAGTGTCCATCTTGATCAATGCTTTGATTAAAGATTCTAAAGTCAATTGCTCGACGGCAATGGAGCCTTGGATCAAGAAGTTAAGACGTTTTTGAAGAAGTCGGAGAGGTTCAAGGAAAGTTTTAATCGTAACCCGACCAGGAGTATCACTGCCGAGGGGTGGAATAGTATGAAGGAAAAGGAAGTCACAGTCTCGCCCAGGAGCTGCAGTTACCTCCTTAATGCTCTCCAAAGACACACCGGTAGTCAAAACTAGTCCGAAATGATGACTATAAAAGTAGACGTTCCTTGTTGTGACATAAGCTCGTCCGGGGAACTCTTGCTGGTCGTTAGGGCTCCAGGTGGCTCTGAACACCAAGACCAATGCTTCGTCTCTCTTGACATCCGGGAAAAGCAATCTGAACTGAGCATCTTGAATCTTCAATTGTTGAGGGTAGTAGCTGGGATATTCATGTCCGATACCCAGTGAAACTTGCGTGAGCTTAACATCGTCTCCGTCAAGGCTTACCGTCTGTCTGTGACGTGGACCTAATTGCTGTCGGGGTGCCTCTAAAGCACCCGCTGCATCGGGCTGTGCAGCAATCGTACGTGTTGAGGTATCGCTCAAGGTGGAAGACGGCTGGCCTTCTGCGGTGTCATCAGACGCTCCATCGACCACGCGTTGTTCCCCTTGAAACTTGTTCATGAAACCCCAGTTGGAGCTACCCCACAAGTTCGCCATCATACCACTGGGCATGCCACCTGTGCTATCGGAGACACCTAATCCAATACCTCTTTCATTGCTCACAACCACTGCCGCCTTGCTCATGCTTGTGGGTGCTGGGGGATTGGCGAGCGTGGCAGGTGCAAGACTTGAACCAGGCTCTTCCACGTTACTTAAACTGCGGCCTCGGTTGCCATCGACATTCACGTTGAGTGGACCGGTGTTGCTGTAAGGGAGAATATTGTGGCTGGCAGAGATGAGGCTGGCTATTCCACCTGTAGGGCCAGGGATGGAAGGAGATATTGGAGCCGCATTGTTCGATTTACGGTGAAGATCCAACTTTTGGATAAGTCTAGAGGTATGCTCTTTTGCGTGTTCTCTTGCAGAGCTCTCGCCATCCAAGCCTGTGGGTCTTCTACCGCTTCCAATATCCGTACTATTTCTCATAGTATATCCATCACGGTCGGGAACAGGAAGTGTCATACTGCGATCTCCCGCTCCGGGCTCGTCGTTCGTATGTGGCGTAAGGGAGTCAGCAGGATCTGCTGCGAACTCGGAAGCCGGAGGTTGAGAAATTGAAAATGCAGGATCTTGAACTGTGACTTTTCCAGAAACCGAAAGATCAGTGCTTGCGGGGTTTTCCAGTGCTTTCTGCTTGGCCGCCTCGAAGGCACCAATCCATTCAATCAGTTCCTTTTGGTTATCTGCCTGCAGCAGAATTGTGTTGTTCTTGGTCTTCACTTGAAAGCAGAATCTGCGTTCCTCCTGGAATGCAGGACGAATACTGCAAAGCAGTACACCAATTCGTTCACTCTCTTCAACGCCACCTGTACGAGAGCCTTGTACAAGACACCCAAATATACCGTGCTTGAGAAATGCCCACCGCTTGACCCAAACAGTGCGAGCGGGCTTTCCTGACAATGTGCGCAGATAGAGCCACCCTTGCTTCTCCGGTCGCATCTCTTTGCTCACATTGAGGTTCGAAATAGGACGAGAGCCAAGGTACGGAACCGTCGAGATATTGTAGTCTTCCAGTTCACGAGACGGTCGAGCTGCATACTCCGCGGCTTCCTCGATGTGCTTCCGGGTGGATAGCAGCTCCCGTTTAGACGATTTTTCACTCCCTTCCATCTCATGAAGCCAACCCTTAATACGATCCATCTCACGGGACCATTTCAAGAATGTCCCGCTGTTGTGGTTGTGGAATCCCCGGAATTCCCGCCATTGGTCGCAGGAGACCTTGACCAGAAGTCGGTCAAGCGCATTTCGTACCTGAGGACCCTGTACCGAATAGTCCATTGCCGCTTTCAGGTAGGCCTTGTGGGCTTCGTGTAGTTGAAACGCTTCTTCTCTCAGGGCCGAGGCCTCCTTGGACTTCGACTGAGAGGCATATCGAGCTTGAAGGTAATCGTACGACTTCTGGGTTTGCTCGAGGTTGCGACGAATTTCCTATGGTTGTATCAGATAATCCTGCGCGAGAGCAAATTGGTCTAGGGGCTCCGCAATACCTTGAAATGCCGCAGATCCTCTTGAATGAAATCCCGAATGGGTTCGGAAATCAACGACTCCAACTTTCTGGTTGTTGTTATGAGTCCACTCCAAAGATCTTTAGATCCCTCACCACATCTCCTCATAGCCAAAAGTGTGTAATCATGGTCAACGACCGCTTCCGAGACAACGAGGGGATGTGCCGAGTAGGAAAGAAAGTTGCTCACTACACTCTCCAGAGCAGTTAGCTCGCAGGAGAGCTTTGTTGCAGCTTTGGCATATCCGTCGAGCCATTTCTCTATAAAATCGACCTGGTCGAAGAAATGGAGGGTGGTGGCACGAAAGGTGGGCGAGTCGAGAGCAGCTTCTTTGAGACCGACCGGGCTAAAAATGGACGTATACATTAGTATGCAAGAAAGAGAATTCCAAAATCAGACATATCAAACACTCACACAACGCTCACAAGCTTCCCAACTTGGGGTAACGGGGTTTGTGCTTGAGTCGACATCTAGTGTATGTCTCCAGCCATACACGAGACGCGAGCAAAGAGCGAGACGCGAGATGTGTGAATGGGCCTCCTCTCGTTCATGCCACTCGATGATCAATGCAAATTTAAGGCCTGGAGAGAGCCCACGTGTATGATTTTCCAGCTTGTAGCGGTCTCGACTTTGACTAAGACCTCCTCCGTGGTGAGCCTCCGGATGATCTAATTGGCTACGTCAGGGATGGGTCTCTGCCTTGGTGCCTAATCTTCAAGGCACTGAAAGAGGGCGGTTTCGCTGGAGAAGGCGGTGTGAGATTTTTTTTTCTTTCTGCCAACTGGGGATTTCACCGAGTCGGCCTTCAATCACATACCTGATCACACAAAATGGAGCCCCCTTCTAAGAAAATGCGAAAGCTCTTGGATCAAGATAGCGATAGCGACTCTGGGGATGATGCTGGTGGAGTTCTCCTCGGCAACCAGTCGTCTGATACCAAGTTCAAGATCAATGAAGACTACGCTCGTCGATTTGAGCACAACAAGAAGAGAGAAGAAGTTGCGAGACGTACGTGCTTACAGTCGATGGTTTTGCGCCTTGGTCGCACATGCTAACATTCGCTTAATGTACAGTGGAAGCAAAGTATGGAAAGTCCTCCAGTCTTGGAAACCGCCAAGTCGAAGACTCTGAGGATTCCGACTCCGAAGAAGAAGATGACGATGCAGAGCTCGCTACAGTAGCTCTAGATGCTGAAATCTCGGCGACGTTGAACGCTATTCGTTCCAAGGATCCTCGCGTTTACGACAAAGATGCCAGCTTTTACACCAAATTCGACCCAGAGGCAGCCGATGCTGGAAAAGGCCCCAAGGAAAAGTCCATGACGCTGCGCCAGTACCATACGCAAAATCTTCTAAGTGGTGTCAACCCAGTAGAAGAGGAAAATACCCCAAGGACCTATGCCCAAGAGCAAGCCGACTTGAAAAATGCTATTGTCAAGGAGATGCACGGAGCGGCAGACAAGTCCGACGAAGAGATGGAAGATGCCGACGAGTTTATGGTCCGCAAACCCGGCCAGGACGCCTCGTTGCCCAAATCTGAAATTAAACTCGATATCGAGAATGCGGACAAAGACCCTGAGACTTTCCTATCCAACTTCTTGTCAGCACGAGCCTGGATCCCCGCCGACAAGCCAGAGCTGCATCCGTTTGATTCGGATGAGGATGAGGATGTTGATCGGGCGGACGCTATTGAAGAAGCATACAACTTCCGCTTCGAAGACCCTAACAAGATGAACGAGGTGATAGTCACTCACTCTCGTGATCTGACCAACAAGCAATCCGTCCGTCGCGAAGAAAAGAGCTCCCGTAAGAAGACTCGCGACGCCGAGCGCGCACTCAAGGATGAGGAGAAGAAGCAGCGTGAAACTGAGAAAAATCGTCTTCGCAAACTGAAAACTGAAGAACTCCAGAAAAAGGTGGAGCAAATCAAGGAGGTTGCGGGACTTCGTGCCTCGCAATTTACCGACGACGACTGGTCTCGTTTCCTGGACGCTTCCTGGGACGACTCAAACTGGGAAGCAGAGATGCAAAAACGGTTTGGCGAGGAGTATTATGCCGGGGAAGAGGGTGAGGACAGCGAAAATGAGGGAGGCAAGAAGAAGCATCCTAAGAAGCCTACATGGGATGACGATATCGATATCAACGACTTGGTCCCAGACTACGAGGACGAAGAAGCGCAGCCCACACTCGAACTACCAGAAGCCGAGGATGAAGATGACGACGAAGCTTCCGGGTCTAAGAAGAAGAGCAAGGCCGAGGAGAAGCGAATCCAAAAACGTGAGGCCCGCAAAGACCGTCTTCGCATCGATGATGCAGTTGAACGCAACCTGGATCTTGATATCACCTTGCTTCCTGGGGCTACAAAGAAGAACGCAACACAGTTCCGCTACCGCGAAACCTCGCCCCAGAGCTTTGGCTTGACAGCACGGGATATCCTCATGGCGGATGACACACAACTCAACAAGTTCGCTGGTCTGAAGAAGCTGGCCACCTTCCGCGAAGAAGAGAAGAAGCGGCGCGATCAGAAGAAGCTGGGCAAGAAGGCCCGGCTTCGCGAGTGGCGCAAGGACACTTTCGGTGATGAGAATGGGCCGGTGTTCAAGTTTGGCGGTGATGTCCAACCTAGTCAGCCCAAGGAGGCTGTTGATGAGGATAAGGTTGATATCAGAGAAGGTGATGGCACACGTAAGAAGAGAAAGAGGTCGAAGAAGCATTGAACATGTTGCATTTGTCAATCTCTCATTGTTTATAGCTTTTTCAAATCAATTTATGAAACGATGCAAAATCTTTTCTATTCCGAGTTAGACGGCCTACTTGGGCATTCAATAACAGTTTCGTGTGATAATACATATCAACTGTGAATCATCATGCCGAAATAAGGAAGGTGCAGCTGAAAAATGAAAGAACAGCAAATAGACCCGTGGACAGCGTTAAGAAGTGTTGGATGGTGGTACTACTATGAATATATATTTACAGCTTTTCGAGAGAGTTGGAACATAAAACACAATAAAAATATAAAAAATATAAATTGCAACTCTATTTTATCGTTGAGTAGTTAGATTTACAGCCTCATGCAGATATTTTAAATCCGATTGAGAATGACCTGCAATCTGTTTGCTTTCAGACTCATACATACCTGTAGGACTCCGTAGCTTCCCAAAGCGGAAAGCTCCCATGCGATGCGGGCCCACTCAGGCGCTAGCGGTTGCTGGGGCGAACCTCGGGATGTTTTGATTCCAAGCTACGGAGTATAGGAAGCTCTAAATATTGCTATTACGACCTGGGTAGTTAAATGAATTGAATGTACGGTGTACTCCGTACAAAGCAGATAATTTCCTTGAGGACCGAGGAAAGTGGAGCCAAGTGTTGTACTATTGGGTACCTGGCATTAACATGCGAAGTACCCAGGTACATCGTCCATGCGGCGATCTATCACGTTAAAGTTTGTACCCGCGACACAAAAATAGTAGCAAGGAAAAATGTCTCATATCAAGTTCAGGTATCCCTCACTTATCGCACTGTCTTATTACCGCAGATGGGAGGGATCACACTTGCTCAATTGGGTTTTTTATACTACAATGTCCTAGATAATCCCACGATTATGAATTGAATATAAGAAATAAGATGCTTAGTGTAGGGGGGCCAAGGAGACCTGGAGAGAATCCACTCGCCCGAGGCAAACAAAGGCTACTCCGTACACATACGGACAAAGTACATAGGACCATCGGGTCCTTTGGGATCAAGTTCGCACAACCAGTCAAGAGCGACACGTTCAAAATCATTCAACCCCAGAATGCAAGGCTAGAAGGGAATAGCGACGTCGGTGGCAAGTCCGAGATATAATTTCCATGCTCGGTTCGCCATCGGATACCCGGCCAGCAAAAAGGAGGTTGCCCCGGGGAGTGGAGGCCCGGCATTGGACAGGGAAATATACACCGTACCCCTACGGTATTATGCACCGGCGCTTGGGCCGTTGCTCGGGACTACAGGATGTCGATGATCACAGTGAAAAGATTAGATCTTGATTGATTTTCAAAAAGAAAACAGAAGTGAATTTATCAAGTGTGGTATTGTAGACAGAGACAGAGCAGTCCCTTTGACAGTTCCAAAAAGACGCCCATACGCCTATAGCACTGTCCAGGCCGAATATCAAGACCAGCTGGCCAGATTGCAGAATTTTCAGTGGATCGGGAGATATCGGCAAGAGGCAGGCCAATACAGCACAATAACTGTAACTTACAGTAATTTAACCCCCTGGGCTTCCTGATTGGGTCTTAGCGCCCGGCGGTCGAGTATTTTTTTTCTGGCCCCCCTTCCCGCCTTCTCTCTTCCTTTTTCTTCCTCATTATCCCTGGTGTCTCTTTCTTCTTGACACTCCTTCCATCTCCTCTCTTTTTTTTTTTGCATCCCGTTTCTTTTGCACTATCTTCAAAATGGGTTCCGGTGATGTTAACCAGGCCGACAAGTCCGTCCTCGGCATGCCCGTAAGTGACTCCCTACGAGCTTGTGATAGCTGGCCTCGACGTCGCGTGAAGATTCAAAACGATGAGATGTCAAGCATCAAATCATCATCGAACTTGCTTCAAAGCTCGATTTCAAGGATCGCTCATCGCTATCTCAATGTGAATTGGACCAAGCGACAATGCTAACAAACTTTTCACAGGGCTTCGTTGTCGACTTCCTGAGTACGTGTCACGCTTGATGCTTGCAATTATTAGCAATTGCATACTTCAACAACCGTCTCCTATATCAATACTAACTATCTATTAGTGGGTGGTGTCTCCGCCGCTGTCTCCAAGACCGCCGCTGCCCCCATTGAGCGTATCAAGCTCCTGATCCAGAACCAGGTTGGTTATCACCCGTCTAGCGCCAATTGGAATGGGCCGAAGGCAGAAGCTTACGCTTGATTGTGATTTGCAATTGAGCGTGAGATTAAATATTTGACGCTAGCTGTGTTTATCGTATTGATAACAGCCCGTGAAAATTTTTCTTCCTTGGCCCGTGCCAGTGGGCACGTCAATATTTCGACCAATTCAGCATCTAACCAGACTCGATCAATAGGATGAGATGCTCAAGCAGGGTCGTCTCGACCGCAAGTACAACGGTATTGGCGACTGCTTCAAGCGTACCGCCGCCGCTGAGGGTGTCGTCTCCTTGTGGCGTGGTAACACCGCCAACGTCATCCGTTACTTCCCCACCCAGGCTCTTAACTTCGCTTTCCGTGACACCTACAAGTCCATGTTCGCCTACAAGAAGGACCGTGATGGATACGGCAAGTGGATGATGGGTAACCTTGCCTCCGGTGGTGTATGTATCCCTGAAAACACTCCCACGCTTGGACTATAACTAACGAAACATAGGCCGCTGGTGCCACTTCCCTCCTCTTCGTCTACTCCCTGGACTACGCCCGTACCCGTCTGGCCAACGATGCCAAGTCCTCCAAGGGCTCCGGTGAGCGCCAGTTCAACGGTCTCGTCGATGTCTACCGCAAGACCCTCGCCTCCGACGGTATTGCCGGTCTCTACCGTGGCTTCGGTCCCTCCGTTCTCGGAATTGTCGTCTACCGTGGTCTCTACTTCGGAATGTACGATTCCATCAAGCCCGTTCTCCTCGTCGGTCCTCTTGAGGGCTCTTTCCTCGCCTCCTTCCTGCTCGGCTGGACCGTCACCACCGGTGCCGGTGTTGCCTCTTACCCTCTTGACACCGTTCGCCGCCGCATGATGATGACCTCTGGTGAGGCCGTCAAGTACTCCAGCTCCATGGATGCTGCCCGCCAGATCGTCGCCAAGGAGGGTGTCAAGTCTCTCTTCAAGGGTGCCGGTGCTAACATCCTCCGTGGTGTTGCCGGTGCTGGTGTCCTGTCCATCTACGACAAGGCCCAGCTCCTCCTCCTCGGCAAGAAGTTCTAAGCGATTCACTGAAAATGTGAGTCTCTTGCCACTGTAGTTATACTGGAATAGGGGATGCATGCCTCCCCCAGTGTAACCACTGGGCGTGGAATTCGAGGATGTGGGATGGTCAAAAGATAGATGCGTCAAGAAATGGGTCTGAAGGATCTTGAAGCATAGAATGGTTGATTCCTCCCTTTGTGTACCCAATGTACTTTACTGTCTGCAAACTCTTTTTCGTTTTTTTCAACTTGATCCTCGTGAACATTGTAAAAGTAGACAACTGTGTAGATCTCAAGTGGCTAAAAATGTTCTCTGTTCTCTTGATCATTATTTTACCCCCACGGCTGTATGATGTCTGCTTTTAGCTCGAAGCAGTGGCAAGCCAACGATTTAAATCCCATACCCTTCCAGCCAATATTTCGAACCAACTTCACTGAAGCACAGGCAACAGCGAAAAAAGAAAAAGAAATGCGACGGCGTCCCAAAGCGGAAAGGCTCCACAGCGGCAATAGCCATGACGTCTAAGCTCCTTGAAGCTACAAAAGCCTCTTTACTTCCCTTGACACTCAAGCCTCCCACTTATAATATATTACTCTATCAACATCCGAAATGTCTGCTCCAACAGGAATCCAAACCTACAACTCAGCGCCCGTCAACTCCAACCAGGAGGAAGAAGGCACGCACGCAACAACCTCGCAGCCTGAACCCGCCACCGCATTAGAGCCACTAGCAAGCGCACTCTCACAACCCCCATCAGCACCCGCAACAACAACATCAACAGTCACAGCTCCCTCCAACCCTCCAATCTACCCAACCGCCGAGCCCAGCTCCTCAGAACTAGCACCACCCCGGCCAGGTGCCACAGCAGTGCAACCAACTCCAACAGCGACAGCCGCACCTGAAGCACCACCACCACCAACAACCTCCCTCCCTGAGACAGCAACATCCACAACCCAGACTCCGCCCGCACCCCAACCAGGCGCTCTCCCATCACCATCAACAGTATACACAGGAGCAGCAGGAGCATCAGCTCAATCCTCTCCAATCCCCCCACCCCCCAAAGCCGGCGAGACCATCTCCCAACCACCACCACAAGCAGCCCAACCAACCCAAAGCTACACACAATCCTACTCCTACAGCGCGCCGACACTGGGTGCGCAGACTGCATCACCCAACTCGACCTCATCACCTTATTCATCCGTGTACCCGACGCAGGCGGGATCACACGCTCGTCCGCAGACGCAGACTCTGCCGCTGCATTACGGTGCCGGTGCTGGTGCCGGGTCTGGTGGTGGGGCGGATAGTATCTTCCCCGAAGAGGAGGAGGGGTTTATGGGTGCGGCGAAGGGGTGGATGAGGTGGTCTGGCAATAAGTTGGCGGAGGTTGAGAAGGGGGTTTGGAAGAAAATTAATGATGTTCATGATTAGGAGGTTGGGGTAAGGTTGGGTTGATTGGGGGTTCGGAAGTGTCGGATTTTGTTTTATTATGGGTTTGTTGGTTGAAGGTTTGCATGCGGTGGGTTGGACTTCTCTGTGTATCAGGTAGGATATTTGGGGTACGATGGGGGTATCGAATTAGGTTATGGATTTGGAATTTGTACTTCATTTAGAGGTTGGTTTGGTCAATATTCTTTTATACCAATGCTTTGGTTGGACTTGCATTTTGAAGATAAGTGGTGCCTTCGGACTATCAAGTAGTTCCGACTACGTAAAACTGCCTAGTGAAGCTCTGATATTTGTACTCAAATGTAAGAACATCCAGCCAGAGTATATGACTATTGATTCTTCAAGTGAGTATAGAATTCTATACTAGGATACTTAGGTTACAAGCGAAAAGACGACGATAACTGAACCGCGCAGCATTTGCAACATGTTAAGTTTCTAAAACTAAGTGACTATGTATTTTCATCCCATCCCCGGCTGAAAAGCGTTAAGTATTCAGCCTCGAAAACTGAAGCCGAAACCTCCAGGGCAATGCAAGGGTGATGAACCTGCAATGTACAACAGACTATGCGTAGAGCACACAAAGAGAAACGTGGACAAATAGACAAATAGACAAATAGAGAGAAAGAGAGAGGAAGACGACCACTTCTCAGTTGGATCAGTGAAGATGACTGAGATTCCATACAAGTCGGAAGGGCCAGTGCAATCAATAAAGACGACCAGAACCTCACACCAGATGGCTGAGATCTTCCAAGGATAATTGGGAGTTGTTGGAATCGAAAGCCCATAAAAAAAAAGAGACAAAGTAGAGTATTAGAAAAGTCCGTAGTATGAAAGAGAAAAAGAGAAAGGAACATGAGGAGTCTTGTAGCAGTGGTAGCTAATTCGACTAATGCAAAGATAAACGCCAGAATGAGTAGGTGACAGACAGTTGTACTGTGAACAAACCCAGGGCAAAAAAATAAAAATAAAGAGAGCGGAGAAGAAAAGGGGTATTTGGAGTTGTCATAGTAGCAGCAGCGGCTACTCTGAATCGTCATGACAAGCTGTTTCGTGTCAGGCATAAGAGAAAAGTGAAGAACTTGAACGCCATCTTGGAAACCCAATACCACAAAGGTCCAACCCAACGCCCATATCGAGGTAGTTGCACTGCAAACTAGCCAAATTTCCTGACTTTGGTTTTTTTTTTTGGAAATACCGAAAAGCCATGGCACGCCAAAAGCGGTCCAGACCAGCTTCGACGGCCTTGAATGAGAAGAAAAATAGTGTATCCCGCAAAAAGTAGAAAGAAATAAACGCCGATCATGATGAGGGTGGGGCTTTACATGGAGCCCAGGCGGAGGAGCGCCTCCACAGCGGCGCGTTCCTGGTGGTCAAAGGTGCGGGGTGGCAACTTAGCCACAGATGGACAGGTGGCGGGGAAAATCCCAGATGGCTGAGGTTTTGCGCGCGCAGCGACGTGGCTGTTGATGAAACTGCCGTTGTTGTTCATCGAACGGGCGCGCAAAGCGTCGGCGCCAATTTGTGCCCAGTCCTCCTCATCGGTGTCATCGCCTTCAACCCACTCGTTTTCTTGCATCTCATCGGGAGCCTCCGAGGAAGAACAATACTCGCCGTCATCACCATCAAGAGACATTTTGTCGGCCTCATGTTCCAGCATGTCGAGGTCGCCATGCATGCCGTAATCGTCGGTGTACGAAAAGGCTGTGGATTCGGCAAAGCTCATCCGGTATGGATGACGGTTGCCACCCTGCCAACCCGACTGGCCCTGAATCTGTAGGCCACGCTGCTGGAACGAACCTGCAACACTCGAGGGAGGCGACGACGCAGCGTTCAAATCATGATCGCGAGCAGGTTCACCACGACGTCGCGCGTCCCAGCGGCCCCAGCCAATCTTCTCGAATACCACGTCGCCTTGGACACCACCCGCCTCTCCATTTCCTCGGCCCTCCAACGCCGCGACAACTAGTCTGCGCGCCTTGGCTGGGGGAATATGCGAAAAGCCAGGGACCGAAGTTGTCAAATGACCCATAACGTGGCGGATGGCCAAGGGCCCCTGCTCAAGCAAGATCTCAGGGAGATGATATTTGGAGAGCATGGCAGGGGTGATCGCGCCGGTACTGTCGAGGTCATCGACAGGCAGGGAGACGTGATGACCGTTGGTGTTTTCCGCATCCTCGAGATCGATATCGGAGTCCAACTGGGGGACAGTCGATAGTGGCGATCCTGGCGACAGTGTCGCTCGGTGCTTGAAGGTCTGAGGAGGAAGGGTCGGGGAAATAGAGTTGGGTGGCGTGAGCAACATTGCAGGCACACGGCCGCCACTCAGGCCAGAGCGGCGCTGAGGGATATCAACCGAAGCAGTCTTGCCAGCAAGAGCCATTGCAATGCTGGAGTTTGTCTGGAAAGCCATAATGGATAGAAGATGGATTTGTGAAAGGAGAAGAACCTAGAACGCGCAAGCCGGGGTATATGAGTCAGAAGACCGTCTAATACGCGACAAAGGAAGTACCACGGAAGGTACCACGGAAGGATCGGGTGGCAACAGAATAGTTTCAGAGTGAATAGAAGTCAGGGCTAAAACAAAGGAACTCACCTTTCACACACAGTGAACAAAGAGACAACTCCGTGTAGCGAAGGGCCAACTTTGTTTAGGGCTTGGGGATCCACGTAGGGGATGCGACGCGGCAAGGGGGGGATAGATAGTCGCGATAAGAGCAGATTCCAAGGGGAAGAGGTAGAAGAGTGTCCACGAGTATTGGTGAAGAGGAAGAGGGAGAAAGATAAGAGTGACGCCTTGGAAGTGACTTACACCTTTGTACTCTTAGGAAGGCCCAAGTATGGGAATTAGGAAAGCGCGTGGGTGAATTGATTGGCGCCTCGTGGGACACACCGGGTGCTTCCGGCTTTCTATATAACTAAGAGAACTGATTTACTATCGAACTACGACATTATTACCCTCTATTACTCTCTATTCTTTTTTAGTTTCTAACATGTTCACATGAATAGTTATACATTCTATACTATGTGACCCTTTCTTACTATATACACTCATTCTTCACATGTTCACACTAAATATCCCTGAGTCGATCTGTCAAGGAAATCCAGTTACCTGTAACCCCCCACTCCAAAGATATCTGAGTAGAGAAATAAAAAACCCCTCATGCCAAGTGGTTATCGGCCAGTCATGGTGATCCCCAGTGCTCGTGCGCCTTTAATGAACGCTTGCAGCGCTCCAGGGCGTAACCCTATTTTCTCCTATCATCGGCTGATAACCGTCGTTCAGGGCACGTGGACCATTGAAACAAGTTCCATCTTTGTACCCATGGACACTCATTCATGTACATGTCATTCTTATTCTACTGTCTTCTAATCTACAATTGCCCATGGCACTGGGTAAGTCCAACATAACTGGAGTAATAGGGTAAACATGTAAACATGTAAGCATGTAAGCATGTAATGTACTAGGTACATCCACTTTCCGTCGGGTCCCACTATAATCTGGGCTCTGGTCGCTTGACGTCACTTGTACCAGTGACATTTGGAATTGGGCATTTGCTATTATTCTATACTGCATTGTATACTCTGCGTTGTATACTCTGCATTGTATGGTTATGCATCCTAAGCAGTATACGTAATTGAACCCTAAACTACAACATTGAACTCACCCTTACAATTCCGAATATGCTGTCCACATTCACCTTATCTTGGAATGTAATGTTACATAATTGACACCTGCCTGAGAAGCCCAAGCCCCCGGTTGCCCCCTACAAATACATCCGAGGAATGCACCTAGTGCGAGGTCCATGTACGACATACAAGCCACTTGTACACTTGTACACCTGTTGACTTGCGGGTTTATTAGGGTCTGTGTGTTGGAAATTGTGGGTTTGCTCAATTCGGCCATCAATTCCCTTTCCCCCTCCTATTGTGCGGGAAGTAGATGCGGGTGACGAGCTAGCCTTGCATGTCACCTTCTATGCCATTCTACCATTCTATACATTTTTAACCCCTCAGTGGTGCGCTGAGGATTTTACTTACCCTCCTGTTGATCGCCAAGTTGTCTATGCCATGATCGGTTCCTGGTCGCTTATCCTATTTTCCCCCGCGGTGTTCAAAACCAACTTTTGATTCTGCTGATACTACGTTTTGGTCATGCGATACTATATTGTAGGTCATGCTTTCCTTGAAATTGTTGCTTACAGGTAGTCAGACGATACTTAGTCAACAATCTGACTCAAATTCAAAGTGATAAGCGGAAAGGGCTATTTTTTGACTCTGCGCAGTATGTGTGCATTCGTACATTCTATAACTTCCCGTCTCGGACTCCGAAGTATGAGCCTACCCCACGTCTCCCTCTTCAATTCTTTCTTCCTAATGTCCCCCAACCAAATCTTCCAATCAAAAGACCCCTCACTCAGATCACGCATATTCCCCACGAAGAGAAACGCGTACCCTTCTGCCTGTGTGGGAGATTGGCCATCCGAATACTGAATTGAACAAGCAATGGTTGTGTAGCTGGGGCTCCTATAAGCCGCTAGTTTCTCTGTGTCCTCAATTGTCGGTACTTCATACACAGCCCCTGTGACGGTATCCCCGGGATCACTAGATAGTAAGACCAGGTAGGGGCCCTATAGCTTACAGTTGTAGCTCTCAATGTATGCAGGTCGCAGGTGAGACGCCTGTTTTAGGTCTAACAGATCTATGAGTAGATTATGATCTTGGAATGAGCTTAGGAGAACTATGGTCCTGTTGGAGGAGGGCCTTGGGTTTGAGGTTGGGGGACTTGGGATTAAAAGAAGTGGTTGGGAGACGTGCTTCGCATCTTTGGAACTGCGGGTGATATTTTTGAGCGAGGATTCTCTGGGGTAGGTGGGGGTGGGGGTGGTCGACTGTAGTATGAAGGTATGAAGCATAGACTTGAGCACTGTCTACGGTTTCTGTGAGATGTTGTTACATACACTGATGTGTTGCACTCATGTGTTGGAACCTTTGTGGGGAAAATCCCTGCCGGTGCGGGGGATAGCAGATGCCTTCACTACTATGTACACACATTATATTGCTATGATTTTAGGCAAAACAAGCTTTAATTCCTACTAAACCACGATGTTGAAGAACTGAGGTTAAACTCTAACGATCGGATAAATGGGGCATCTTCACCTATTCTGTTAAGGCTATTTCCCCGGCGCGGGGGTTCAAGTGCCTAAATACATAATTAGGGGGAAAAAGCGCAAATATAAATAGGAAAACATGTTGTTTTCCGGTAGTTTAGAGGAACTTTTTCGAGTTCATCAGATATTTGACCATAATGGTCTACTATGGATTTGCATTCCTCTGTTTGGCAATCATTGCGAACGCAGCAGTGAGCCCCAAGTCTTTGGACTCTGATATTTCCATTCTCATTCATAATGATCTGCTAGGTACGCATATTGAATATTCCCCGAAATCGGAATCTAGAATCAAAGACTGACCGTTGAAATAGAAACCGAAAGTCCTCTATCTGGTTCAGGAATTCTGGTACTTGATGCGCGATCATGGCAAGAAGCCAATGATAGCTGTCAAAGGCTTGGGGAATCTCTCTGGGGGACAGATTCTAGTTATAGAAATATCCAAAGTGATTTGGACTACCTTGTATTCCAAGGCAAATACACTCGCAACCAACGTTTTTGGACTGCCTCGGACCACCGCAAACTGTCGACCATCGACACAAATGGTCGAGTTAATAAAGCCTCTGCGGACGAAAAACTGCCCGTTCTTTGTACACAAAGTGCTCCTTTTTCCAATAGTACATTCCAAAATACAAGTGCTCAGTGGCAGGCAACTGTCCACTCCAACGATGAATATCTCACTGGGTAGGAACTAGTATTTCCCCAGAACCTCGCAATCTATTCTAACAAAACATAGCTTCCGGGATCGATTCAGTTTCCGGTTTCTGGGAATTCGCTATGCTAAACAACCCCGACGATGGGCGTATTCTCAAGTATATAAAGGGACCGGAAAGAAATCTTCTGCTCTTGACTATGGCTCTGACTGCACACAAGGCACAACCGGTTCAGAAGACTGCTTGTTCCTCAATGTTTGGACTCCCTATCTTCCCAAGAGCACCCAAGTTCAAAAGAGCCATCTCAAACCTGTGATGCTTTGGATTCACGGCGGAGCTTTCACTAGCGGTACTGGTAGTGACCCGACATTTGACGGCGGCAATCTAGCCTCGAGAGGTGATGTTGTGGTCGTCACAATAAACTACCGCCTGGGGACATTGGGATTCCTCGCACTAGATGATGGCGAAACCAACGGGAACTACGGATTGGCAGACCAGACCACGGCACTGGAATGGGTTCGTCGGAACATTCAGGACTTCGGCGGCGATCCGGACAGGGTAACCATCTTCGGCCAATCGGCTGGGGCAGCCTCAGTACGGGCACTACTTGCTTCTCCTGCAGCACGAGGTAAATTTGCTAGTGCAATTATGCAGAGCAATCTTGGTGGCTTGGCTTATGGCACAACCTACTCGAAATACTATACCATCACGCAGTTGATGGACATCGTGGGGAATGCTATTCTCAAAGAGACAAACTGCACGGATGCTGCTTTACCAGTCGAGTGTTTGAGACAACTCCCCGCATCGACTATTGCAAATCTCGCTGACTCGGCACGGTATCTGGTTGTTGATGGTGTCTACCTCCGAAGCTCGGAACTGGATTTAACAAACTCATCATCGACCGCCAATGTGCCTTTGATGGTCGGTACTATGAGAGATGATGGTGCTGCAATGATAGGCTATCCTGCATTGGGACAAACTCTGAAGTCCTTCCTTAATGAATCTGGTCTACCTGAATCAATTGCACCAAGCCAACTCTTCCCCGTGCCATCAACTGCCAACACTACACTCGATATCTTCAACACTTCCTCCCGCGTAGCTACAGATGGAATGTTTCGCTGCATCGACGAGGCAACTGCAAATACAGGCTCAAGGACACATATATTCCCCGATCTCTTCTACTACGAGTTCAACCGTTCATACCAAATGCCCGGCTGGTCGCCCAATGCCCCAGTGTGCAACGCTCCCATCACAGATGAGTTCCCAAATGGTGACCCTAGACAAGAGTACTTTAAATGTCATTCTGGTGAGCTGTTCTACGTGTTTGGAAGTTTCCGTCGTCAGGGCTTCCCGTTCCGCGATGAGTTCGATCTACCCTTTGGGCAGTATGTGCTTGATTCTTGGGCGAGTTTTGCGAGGGCGGCTAAACCCACTCCTGACTTGGCCTTTTTGAAGGCAAGAGGATATGATAATACAACTCGGGAAATTGAGTTAGCTGGACTATGGGAGCCGTTTGGCAAAGAAAGTCAGCTTCGGCTGCTTCAGTGGCCGTCGAAGATGAGGGGCTTGGATGAATTGGAACAATGTCGTGCGTTGAAACTGCCTTTGGACTACTTCAACTCTTAGAATTGAACAAACGTATTAGTTCTTTTGGGTATAGACGAAGGGCTTTGTATATTCTAGCTCCATTGATGTGAGCTCCATTGATGTGATATAGCCAAGATCATAGATGGATTTGATATTGACAGCGTGCGCACCAAGATCTATTCTACACGAAACTTGAATTTGTCTCATAGATTCTTTTTCAGAGCCAATATGAAGGCCTCTTCGGTCCTTTGGGGTGAAAAGTTTTTATTGATAGTCTCGTTTCAAGGGTCGTTCTAGAACTCTTTTCCCCAGTCCCGTTAACTTCAATCCCTTTGTAGTGTCTTTGATGGTGCTCGAACATGATTTTTGTAGATACAAACCCTATGTGTGGTCTCTTCATTCTTTAGCTATCTCTTTGTGTCGGATAGTTTAAACGATCTCTTGGATTGCTGTTTGCTAGAGTAATAAAAGCCATGATGGTCCGTCTCGATATAAAGACTCCAACCATTCGATCTCATCTTGATCTACCTTGACTGCACTCATTATTCACTATATAAATCTTACAGAGATCATCCTTTTCTTTTGAGATGCCTAGAAAGGGAAGCAATAAAGTTCGTAGGGGTAATCATAATATGAGGGACTATTTGGTTAATATAAAACCGCAATATTTGAGTTGCCTTTGGGACAAAGGTGATTGGACCCAGGCCCACGGTGATAGTAAGGCGTCAGCTCGTGGTGCCTATGTCATGAAGAGCATGAAGACAAGTACTCAGCCACCAGAGTACCGGGTTCTGATTTTGCACGAAAAGGAGCCTTTGTTAAACTTCACTATGCCGGGCAACCCGAATGAGAATGGTTCGACCGATCCTCCTACCTCACAGGATGTTATCGATGCTGTTACAATTGAACTCGGTAAGATCGGCAAGTAGAACAACCAAGCCTACAAGTATGAATATAGAGATCTTTCTCAAGAATCACCAGTCTGTTTTTGCAACCACTTTCAGGGCTTGCTTTCAACCCCGGGTGCAGTGGATGATTTGGATTTCATTTTTGGGTCATTCCTCGAATTATACTGACTATAACATCTTTCTTTGACAGAGTATTTGCTATTTTATTTAAGTGTGAACTGTTTCTTGTCCTTTGTTTCTCGTCCTCTCGCTTGTTTCCCCATTTTTGTACCAATCAGAGCCTTGGCTTATCACCTCTATCACCAAACAAAACACCCACCTTTCACTCCTAGGCAAAAGTAAATCATAGAAACAATTTTCTGTCCATCCATTCAACATAATAAATGATGTAAACCTAGGTAAACAGTTAATTGAAGCGGAATCCCGTAAGAGAGTACCTGCTACATACTACAAGTTTCATAGTGAGAGATAGCATGAATATCGTAGTCAAATTTGGAGTTAAATTCTCCATTGCGAAGGGGCAGAGCGGCCAAAGGTCAAATGAGTCAAATGCCTGATTTTTTTAGGCTTGATGCTTGAATATGCCTGAATTATGCCTTGTTTTATATATACGTGTGCTTTTTTTGCCGCCTTTATATATACCTAAGAAGACATCTAAAAAGATATCTAAAGAGAATATCTAAAAAGACAAGCCAAAAATATATCTAAACATGTCACCCAAAAAAACATGACAAGGCCGTATAACCAACCAACTATTCTTATATATAGTGTGTATAACTAGGAATAGCTTCAATTTATAATATAATGGTATATAGCGGTGTCGAAAGTAGTCTATAATTCAGGCATAGAAAGGCATCATTCCTACAAAATCAGGCATTTGACCTTTGGCCGCTTTGCCCCTTCGCACTCCATTTACAAAGCTGATAGCGCTGCGAACACCCCCAAGGGGATCAGAAACTGTTGGCTTCTAGGGTGCTTTGGATTTTTTTTCCTTTCAGTGTTTCAGTTACCCCCCATCCTCCTCGGGATATCACCTAATTAGAAATCCTGACAGACAACACTAGAGATAGAAGTACCAATGTATAACTCTTAATTTAAAGAGTCTTTACCCGTCATGTATGGGGAGATATCATTAGACTGACAGTTGGCACGGTATTCTGCATGAAAGAAAGCTTTTCTTCCTTTTTTTTTCTCCCCTTGTGCTTTGCTCCTCTATTTTTGGCATCTTTATGGCTCTTTGTATTGTGAAATATTTGTACCGTGTGTTTGCCCTCTTTCTAATTGTTTCCAGTTGTTTTTACTTCTGTGTTTTCACTTCTGTTCCACTTTAACCTTGCACCTTTTTCATACTGGAGTCACCGCGGTACTTCCCTGGGGGCATCATAAGATCATTGACATTGAAACTAAAGAGATCAACAGAAATGATGAAGCCAGTGGAAAAAATTCTACCAAAACCCATGGGACAACTGGGGAACAACAGCCCAGCAATCTCGATGCAGCGGTTGAGGATGCAGGGGAATCTGAAAATGAAGAAGAGGAGTGGGATTACTTAGGCGATGAGCTAGATCTCTGTTTCTTCAAGCAATTCCGGTACGAATCTGAGACCGAAGCATATGAAACGATGAAAGATCTGCAGGGAATTCATGTTCCCCGAATTTTTGCACGTACCAAAATTTTGGGGCTGACATACACCCAAGATCAGCCCATCAGTCGGTATTTCGAACATCCTGGGATTCTTATGGAATACATCGAAGGATTCCCCCTACCTGAAATTGCCGAACATGCCCCCAGGAAAGAATGGAAGCCAATTATTGACAAAGCCATCGAGATTGTCAACAATATCATGAGCCATGGGATCCTCAATGACGATACCAATGTAAGGTGCTTTATCGTGCAACCTGATCTAGCCAACACTTTGGATTCCGAATACAAGTTCAAGTTGACTATGATCGACTTTGGTCATACCAGATTCCGTAGACAATACCACCCTGGAGAGGATTGGCGATGGTGGCAGGCACAGGATGACGAAGAGGGCGCCATCGGAGTGGTGATGAGTATGCAACTGGAAAGGGAACAAGGGGGAGGTTACACCTATGAAAGGACCACCTATCGTGAGGCGCTTCAACGTGATTACATGAGAGGAGAATGGCCCAAGGAGAGGCCTATTCCACGCGATGGATGATCTGCTTGGAGAAGAATATGTGTGTATTTGTCAAGGGAGCAAGACCTGTATCCTTCCTTTCTCTCTTTTTCCAGCATTGTTATCTCTCTTTTCTCTCGCTCTTCTTAACTAAAATAATCAGTAGTTCTTTTCCGACCCCATTAATAAAGCTCTTGTATTGTAATATTATTTAGGAAGATATTGAATATATCAGGCAAAATTGTCGAAATGTAAGCATTATACTGAAAACACGTTTATTTCATAAAATATAAGGAATATATCAAATCCATTAATGTGTTAAGGCCATCCCTTGAAGTTACCAAGATAATATAATGTACAAATCTCTAAATGGGTGACTGTCAAGGCTAATATTTGAGGGTATGTCCACTTCCGACACCATTCCGAAGTACAGCATACGACTTCGAGTACTATGTAGACCACGTACTTTTTTTTAGATCCAGCAGGACCTCACATGCATCAATATTTAGCCTTGGTACAAAGTCTAATATCATGTCCATTGGTCCATATAAAAAGGTAGAATGAAAAACTTCGCCCTATATTGTCGTTGATAAGATCGGATGCGTCCCTTCCGATGTTCCCCCTCCTGAAATAGACGTATCCTGCAAGAACTGTAGATTTTCACATTCTTTTCTTTTTTTTCTCTTTCTTTCACTTGCAATCATTCCTCCTTAACTTACAAAACATGTCTTACAAAATTGCCTACGACACTGCTCGCGCACCACCCCGCGGCGCCGCGCTCGTTGCATTCATGGAAGACTTCTACCGCACCAGCGACACCGAGTCCCTGCATGATAAATACGTCCAGAGCTTCACTGAAGATGCAACGCTCATTATGGGACCTAAGGAGGCCAAGGGCGCAAGCGGTATGGTGGCCATCCGATTCCCGCCCTTAACATTGGTGAAGCTATATAGCCGAGTTGATTTACATTCCAGAATATACATCTACATTGGGTTGTACCCCAGCTAATAAAACCAACTGCATAACAGAAATCCTCCCCCTCCGCCACGGCCTTTGGACACACGTTGCTTCGCGCCGACACATGCCAACGCAGATCTACTTCGGCGGCGATGATGAGATCATGTTGTACGGTGGCGTAAACTATAGACTCAAGGCTAACCCCGATAACGATGTTTATGTGCCTTGGGCTGGACGGGTTGTGTTCGCGCCCCAGAAGGGAGACGAGGATATTAAGATGCAGTTTTATCAGGTTTACTTGGTGAGTGTATCCTTGTGCTGCTAGCTGCAAGGTGGTGTTTGTGCTGATTGATTGTCTTATAGGATACCGCGGCTCAGTCGGGAAAGCAATGAAGTAGATTGGACTTGAGATTTGTCTGGTACATACATAAGAACAGAGTTGCATAAACTCAATAGCAATATGACTGGATATAAATTGATTTGGTTTTTGGAGTATGTCGATCTATATCATGTGTAAGGCTAAGGATCTGCTGGTAGTTAAATGATATCAGACGTCTACATCTACACCTACAACAGGGAGAGAGAGGACGGAACAGTTTTGAAGTGTTTAGACATGCTCTTTATTTCCAGGAGACCACGAGAGAAAAAAAGGGACAAAGACGCCGTAGGGTTGGATCGGGGTCAAAGAGGTGAGGGTGATCATAAAAAAAACATGTCAGGGAAAAAAGATCCCCTCCCCTCGACAAGAGAGAGAGAGGGGAAGGATTGTGTAGAACGTCTCGTCCGCTCTCTTCTCTCGTTCAAGTCTCCGGATAATGATGCCTCATCCTCATGCACTCTGCACCGCCCATATCTCTCTCCGCTAGTAGCCCCGTCTGGTCGTCAGAAAAAAAAATATGGAGTGGAACAAGAAAAAAGAAACAAACGTAAAGTCGCGCACGGGACCGCAAGCTCCGAATTTTTATTTTTGTGCCGTCATTTCCAATATCTTGCCGCCGTAGCGAAGACAAAACCACAAAAACAAACGACTTATCCCCGAACTATTAAAAGCCCATTGCGATACGTTTATTCCTCATCCGACTCCTCCTCCTCATCGACGGTGGTCTTGGCGATACGGTCCAAATCACGCTGGCCACTCTGGGTGATGCGGCGACCACCCTTGTCCTCATCGGTCTCGAGGACACCGATCTTCTCAAGAGCCTGGAGGGCCTTGCGGTCGACGGAGCCGGAGGCATCGACGTGGTGGGCGGGGCGGGCACCACGGTTCTTGGTGGAACCGTGGACCTTGCGGAGACGGCCGACACCGACGGTCTTGCGCATGTAGATGTGACGGGCACAGGCGGCGGCGCGGACGTAGAACCTTGAAAAAAGCAAATGTCAATTGTTTGTTCGAATTTTCGTGGCTTGATATTTGATGCGGTCGTACCAGTCAGCATCCTGGGGAGGAAGCTCGTTGGAAGCAGAGGTCTTGACAGTGTCAACCCATCCGGGGATGGGGAGCTTTCCCTGACGCTTCAAGAAAGCAGAGTAGGCAGAGATGAACTTCTGCGCCTGTTTAGGGGAGAAAAGTCATGTTAGTTATGGCTCATCAAGGTATGCGTGGATCGGCCAAAAGCCTGTGGATTTGCAGATGCGGCGGATTCGTTTCTGGAAACATTTCATCACTCGTCGTATGGAGTGTTTCGCTATTATGCAGTCGTTGTATCGAGTATTCCAGGGCGAATACCGACAGATAGACGGATCTAGCATCAAATATTCGCCCCTCAAAACATGCATGCACATCCTTCAATATTCGACATATTTCCCATAGGCAATGAAATCATTCGCCTATTGCGTGCGTAATCCGACGCATTTCCATCTTGGCGATATAATCCGACCGATGTTGTGGTATCCGTGCATCCAGAAACGAACCGTCCACATCACGCAAACCAGAGCTGACCGATCACCTAAAATCGAGCAGGACACTTACGTCCACATCGCGAACGGTAACACCACCCATTTTGGCGACTTGTCGAGGGGTCGAAGGGTAGGGATTAGAGAGAGAGAGGCGTTGGGCGTCGAGGTGGGCAGGTCGAAGTCGAAGAGTCGCTCAAAATTTCAAGACACACACAACTCTGGGCGGGTTGGGTCTGTGTGCCGTTCGCTTGTCCATTTTGGGTTAGCCGTACCCTAAGCTGGGTCATGTGATATGGCCCAACTCATGCCTGATAACTAAGGCTCCACATCAACCCCCTTGGTGCCTGATGTTACAGGCATAAATATAACCATTGGAAGGTATGAAATAGTTATTTGACATAAAGTAATCGGTGATGGATGAAAGATTATTTGAAGAGCCCCCGGAACGATGTGATTGTCTCATGTTCTAATTATACACCAATTAAAATCTATCTCATGGTAGTTGTCATTATTCATAACTTTGAAACGATTCAAAGCTGTACCCCGTTTCCTAATCCCTTGATCTTAACGCCTGAATGATTCCCAATTACAGCGTGGGCGCTCTCTTCAGCCCAACACAATACCTCACAAATAGAGTGTCAATGAAATGACCATGTCGGATACCAGGAGGTCGGCACCGGTTGAACTCGTCAATGGCATCTTGTACACCGAAACCAAGATGCTCGATCAAGTAGCAAGCGATCATAAATCCAGTACGGTTGTAGCCATAATGGCAGTGAACTCCGACCACTGGACGTGGTAGAAGCTTCTCTTCCTCTGTACGCTGCTCCATCTTCTCATCAATATCCTTTTGAATGCTATTGACTAGAGCGATAAAGTCGCGTGTCTCGTCTGGAGTTGGAGGAATCTTGGATATAGTCGGGTGCTTGTAGTAGCGAACCCCACCCTTCTCCAGTTCGGCTGGGTTGTAGACCGGACTTTCATGACTGATGTCTATAACAGCGTGAATGCGTCCACGGTACTTTGCCGAGAAAGCCGCAGGGTTGTGTTCCTCGTCAACCTCGCGCAACATCTTAAGTGCGGCAAATGTGTTGGCAATTCGTTCCGAGACTGGGGCAACCTTCTTCCATTTGGCGAGGTTCTTGACATCCCACTTTCCAGATGTGTTCATGTGTTGCAATTGCCAGCCCAGACCGAGACGCTTGTCGACATTCGACGAGAGGAAATCCTGGATAATCCCTGCAAGAGTGCGATAGGTCGCCCGGTCGTAGAGGAGTGCATGAGATGCGGGTGCCGGCAAAATTGCCGATTTGACCACTCGCTTCCGCTGGCCAGCCTCCAAATGCTTCTCGGAGATCTGCACACCAAGCACCTTCTCGTTGGCGCAATCGCCGACTGGAGTTGACATGTGGTCGTGGACTTGCGAAGCGTCTGGGATGATGCTGCTATCGCTGGTATCAATCGTGGTATGGACTGAAGCATCACCAAAGAATTTCAAAAGTTTCTGCACCTCCACCGGTTTGGTCACAGCATCCGTCTCTCCCGCGACCAACAGCACCGGCATGCAAATTCCCGCCCAGACCTGTTGACCAGGGAGTCCGCTAATCGGGTGGCCCTCATTATCGTAGGTGGGCAGTGTGCCCCATGCCATGCGTCGCCAAACAGGTGTCCGACTTTGCTTGTTGAAGCGGACCTGGAGATTTCGCGTTTCCACGTCGGCAGCGACGCCGACCATCCGCATAACACTAGCACTTTGTTCGCCTCCACGTCTATCCCAGCGACGCCAAAGATCGAAAATTAGACTAGGAACATAGAGCGCTCGGCGAAACTTGGTAGTGTCTTCCGCAGATGGAGGATCGGCTCGAGGGCACACAGCAACAAGGCCAATTATGTGCTCTTTCACCTTTACGCCAATAGACGACGTCGAGGAAGCCAAGAGGGCAGACAAGGAACATCCGAGACTGTGTCCCACCAGAATGACTTCCTGACCGGACTCCCGGTCCCGGTGCTGATCAATGGCTTCAGCCAAAAGTTCGGACAGAGCTTCCACAGTGTACGCATTCCAATCTGTGGGTTCAAACTTGGACAGTCCGCACCCGGGCAAATCAATACCAAAACATGAAGCGACATTAGACAAACTGGTCAAGAGGTGGTGAAATTGTGCAAGTGACCCGCCGAGCCCATGAAC